GTGTGTGTGTGTGCGTGTATGTGTGTGCAGTGTCAGATCCACGTCCGGGGTCACCCAGCCAGGTCACAGGGGACCTCGGCGCTCTCTGGGCGGACAGAGCCTCCACCATGTGGGATGTGGACCCTAAAAGCTCCCTCTGCTGGCCCCGGGCTCCAGGCCTGGGCGGCAGCCGTGGGGACAGCTGGGCAGGGCGACCTGGGGGGTAGCTCCAGGGGCTGAGGAACAAGCCCAATCGCCGGGACCAGACTCCAGCTGCTCCCGTCACATGTCCTACCGCGTGTGACACAGGTGACAGGCAGGCAGCCACGGCACACGCAGGTGAGCACAGGCAGCCACGGCCTTCGCTGCTATGACGACAGCACCACTTACTCTACGGAGACCTGGCGGGTATCCCCATGCCGGGCACCCTCCCTCGGAGCCCCGGCACCGGGCACGGGGACTGCAGGGCTGCAACACCTGGGCCGTCCACTGGCGTGCGCCGTCCTGGGCACACGGTGTGGCCAGGGCTCCCTCCCCCTCCCCCTTCCCACGTCCGCCCGTCACCCCGGTTCCTAGCCAGGCTCCCCAGCAGCAGGGAGAGCAGCCGGCTCAGAGCCCGGAGCCGAGCAGTCTCCTTCCCCACGGGCTCTGGCGCTGCCGACCCACCAACCGCCGGGGCCACCTGGGACCCCAGACTCTACGCCTGCAGAGCCCTGAGCCCCACAGGCACCGGCCAGGCCTGGCCGCGCACCCACCTGCATGTTCCAGCAGCCTCCAGGACGGCACGCACACACGGCTCCCGGGCCCGGCTCACCGCGCCAGGGGGGCGAAGGCCCTGACCGGGGCGCCCGGCTGTGCCCTGCGGGTGCCCCCTGGGCCATGGCGGCACCGACGAAGCCTGGTAACGCCGCCCGCACGGCCCAGAGCCGGAGCCTCTGGTGGCCGCAGGTCCCTGGGGCACTCTGCCTGCGAGCACGCCTCTATGGCGACGGAGGCAGCCGGTCTGGGTCCCCCGCCCTCCGCGGACGCAGACCAGGGGCCCAGGCGGCAGGGTGGGGGCGGGGCGGCACCAGGGAGAGGGCGTGCCCGCAGGTGGGGGCAGAGCAATGGAGGCGGTTAATGTCGTCCCCAACGCCAAGGTTGCAGGTCAGTCCCTGGTCGGGCACGGACCAGGATCAGCCAGGGATGCATGGACACGTGGACAACACGTCTCTCTCTTAAATCAACAAGTTAATTGTTGAGAACCACTGCTCTATATAAAAGCCTAGGTGACCCGTGGCCCAGCTGAGCGGCCAGGACCATGATGCTCAATGACCAGCAGGGGGCAGACGCTCAGCGCAGGAGCCACCGAGCTGCCGTCACTTGGCAGCAGTGGTTCAGGTGCACCGGAGCCAGAGAGGAGGGAGCCGATCCCTGGGTGTGTCACCCAGGCCCGCCCTCTCGCCATCCGGACGCCTAAGGGACATCGGAGAGCCAGTTCCGGACCATCCCCGCAGGCCAGGCCCAGGGACCCACCTGCATGAATCTGTGCACCGGCCTCTGGTATAAAATATTTTAAGACTTAAGGTCTGTGGTAGCTTCCTGAGTATTTTGTTTTAATTATTTTCGTAGTTTTTGAGGCCTGCGTGAGGTTCACAGGAGCTCAGCACTGGGTTCCTCTGTGGCGGTGTTATCCCAGCCTCAGACTCCCCGTCACTCTAACCCGAGCCCGTGGGAGGGCGCTCGTCTCAGGGCGGCCACAGCCCCCATTCCCGCGGCTGGGGCCGGCCCTCTGGAGGCACCAGCCGCCTCCTGGGGCCACCGACGTTGTCTGGGTGGTTTGCCACACGAGCTAGAACGCGGGCTCCTTGAGAAACGGAGTGAATGGTCCCTCAGGCACGTCCATCTGGTCCACCCCCGACGGGAGCTGTCCCAGGGCTGAGCCCTCTCCAGCCACAGCCACGGAGCTCTGCGAGCGAGCGAGCGAGCGAGCGAGCGAGCGTGAGAGGAGGGCGCTCAGAGCAGGGCTCCCTCCGGGCCCGGGCCTGGCCGCCGGGAGCCAAGGCCGTCTCCCTCCCGGGACTTGATCCGATAGGAGGAGCACAGCACGGGGAAGCCCAGAAAGGTTCCCCGATTCGCCACCTCCCCCCCCCCCCCCCACGCTGCCCACAGCACGGGAAGCGCCTGCCGGCCGACCACCAGGTGCCGGGTGCCGGGTGCCCGGACAGAGCAGGAGGGGCGGGGCTGAGGGGGCCGGCCAGCAGTCAGAGGGCTCGGTATTCCGGGACCCCGCGGCTTGGAGGTGCTCCCCGAGACGCACGGCATTGGCCGGGCCTGGAACGGCCTCCGCGGGGCGGACGGCGCTGGCCCTGGCTGGCTGCCGTGTCAGGCGCGGCTGCTCCGCCACGAAACCTCTCCCTCTTCTCGGGCTCTGAGTGCAGGTACGTGGGAGCACGTGGCCTGGAGGTTGCCATGGTGACCGGGCAGGAGCCTTTCGCGTGGTCACCGGAGAGGGTCATGACGATCCGGGCTCACGCGGTTCCAGCCTCGGAGGGGGTTGCCTTGGACGCCGTCTCAGTGTGGCCCTCACGTGTGGTCTCCCTGTGGGAGGGGCTGCGCGGCCGTCTGTCCGGGGGCACTGCCTCCGGGACAGAACCGAGTGCTCACGCCACGTGGCCGAGAGAGAAACCCGAGCAGGAGCGGCTTCCTGCCCCCTGGACCCGCCCAGGACCCCCCACAGCGCTGCCCAAGCTCCATCGCCAAGACCCAGTCCGCCTGACGCCTGCAGCAGCTCCCGGTGGGAACCTGGGCTCCACATGAGAGGATGGACCAGTGGGGCCTGCACCCGCCTCCTGGGGCCGCACCCGCCTCCTGGGGCCGCACCCGCCTCCTGGGGCCGCACCCTCCTCCTAGGCCTGGCACCCGCCTCCAGGGGGCCGCACCCGCCTCCTGGGCCCGGCACCCGCCTCCTGGGCCCGGCACCCGCCTCCTGGGGCCGCACCCGCCTCCTGGGGCCAGCACCCTCCTCCTAGGCCTGGCACCCGCCTCCTGGGGCCGGCACCCGCCTCCTGGGGCCGCACCCGCCTCCTGGGGCCGCACCCGCCTCCAGGGGGCCGCACCCGCCTCCTGGGCCCGGCACCCGCCTCCAGGGCCCGGCACCCGCCTCCTGGGGCCTGCACCCGCCTCCAGGGCCCGGCACCCGCCTCCTGGGGCCTGCACCCGCCTCCTGGGGCCTGCACCCGCCTCCTGGGGCCTGCACCCGCCTCCTGGGGCCAGCACCCTCCTCCTAGGCCTGGCACCCGCCTCCTGGGGCCGGCACCCGCCTCCTGGGGCCGCACCCTCCTCCTGGGCCTGGCACCCGCCTCCTGGGGCCGCACCCGCCTCCTGGGGCCGCACCCGCCTCCTGGGGCCGGCACCCGCCTCCTGGGGCCGCACCCTCCTCCTGGGGCCTGCACCCGCCTCCTGGGCCCGGCACCCGCCTCCTGGGCCCGGCACCCGCCTCCTGGGCCCGGCACCCGCCTCCTGGGGCCGGCACCCGCCTCCTGGGCCCGGCACCCGCCTCCTGGGGCCGCACCCGCCTCCTAGGCCTGGCACCCGCCTCCAGGGGGCCGCACCCGCCTCCTGGGGCCGCACCCGCCTCCTGGGGCCGCACCCGCCTCCAGGGGGCCGCACCCGCCTCCTGGGGCCGCACCCGCCTCCTGGGGCCGCACCCGCCTCCTGGGGCCGCACCCGCCTCCTGGGGCCGCACCCGCCTCCTGGGGCCGCACCCGCCTCCTGGGGCCGCACCCGCCTCCAGGGGGCCGCACCCGCCTCCTGGGGCTGCACCCGCCTCCTGGGGCCGGCACCCGCCTCCTGGGCCCGGCACCCGCCTCCAGGGCCCGGCACCCGCCTCCTGGGGCCTGCACCCGCCTCCTGGGGCCTGCACCCGCCTCCTGGCACCCACCTCCTGGGACTTCACCGCCTCCTGGGGCCTGCACCCGCCTCCTGGGGCCGCACCCTCCTCCTAGGCCTGGCACCTGCCTCCAGGGGGCCGCACCCGCCTCCTGGGGCCGGCACCCGCCTCCAGGGCCCGGCACCCGCCTCCTGGGGCCGCACCCGCCTCCTAGGCCTGGCACCCGCCTCCAGGGGGCCGCACCCGCCTCCTGGGGCCGGCACCCGCCTCCTGGGGGCTGCACTCGCCTCCTGGGGGCCGCACCCGCCTCCTGGGGGCTGCACTTGCCTCCTGGGGGCTGCACCCGCCTCCTGGGGGCTGCACCCGCCTCCTGGGGCCGCACCCGCCTCCTGGGGGCCAGCTGGGGGTGGCAGACGCAGCAGGCGGCCCCCATCCCAGCTCCGGCTCAGTCTCACGTCCCTTGGCGTGTGAAAAGCAGCTCAGAGGCTTTGAAAGAACAGGGCACACAGTGCTTCATACAGGGCGTCCCCCAGAATGCACCCCATGTCAGCAGCTGGTCACTCCCTCAATGTCCCTTCCTTTTCAGGTCCCATTGATCTGGACCGTAGGTGAAGCCAGACTCGGCTGTGAACAGAGGATGCGCCCTACCGTGCCCCTGGGCCGTCTGTGGGGTCACGCGAACGTCAGACAACGTGCACGGACGGAACCCCAGCAGCTGTGGCAGGCCGCACGGACACGGAGCGGACGGTGCCTGACGGGGAGACCCCAGCGCCCGGGCGGAGCGCACGGTTTGCACTCAGGTGCTGATGAAGAGCCATGCGTCTCAGAGATTCCTCTACGTTCTATATAAGGACCAGCACGTCAATCCGAGTGCGGCACGTTCCGGAAGCACCCGTGTGGTCCGCCTGAGTCCACACCGCAGAGCAGACAGTCCTCCCAGGAAGCCGGTGCCTCGCCCGCCCCGCTGCCCGGCGCCCTCGCCTGGCCCCGCCCGGCGGGCGGCGGGCGGCACCTCACACTGCACCTGTCGCCCATCCTTCCCACCGGCCGTGGGCAGAGCAGAACCAGACAAATGGAGAGAAGACGCCGTCTCACGATTTCTCTAAACAACTCGCTTTGGAGCAGAGAAAGCAAACCCGGAGGGTCCTACCTGGGCAGGCGCGGCCCGGGGCTCCCGCGAGGCGGAGTCACACTGGCCCTGAGGAGGAGAGGGGAGCGGTCAGAGGGGACGGGGCGGGAGCGGGAGGCAGGGCACCCACCAGGCCTGGCCCTGCGGAGGAGGGGGGAGCGGACAGCGGGGACGGGACGGGGGCAGGGGCGGCTGGGGTGGCAGGGCACCCACCAGGCCTGGCCCTGCGGAGGAGTGGGGAGTGGTCAGCGGGGACGGGACGGGGGCAGGGGCGGCTGGGGTGGCAGGGCACCCATCAGGCCTGGCCCTGCGGAGGAGGGGGGAGCGGTCAGCGGGGACGGGGCGGGGGCAGGGGCGGCTGGGGTGGCAGGGCACCCATCAGGCCTGGCCCTGCGGAGGAGGGGGGAGCGGTCAGCGGGGACGGGGCGGGGGCAGGGGCGGCTGGGGTGGCAGGGCACCCGCCAGGCCTGGCCCTGCGGAGGAGGGGGGATCAGTCAGCGGGGACAGGACGGGATGGGAGGCAGGGCACCCACCAGGCCCGGGAACCGCCGGCTTCGGAACATGAACCTCCACATGGCGCCGCCCGGGACCGGCTCAGGAGGCCTCTGGGCGCCCGAGGGGAACTGCTGTTTTGTGCAACCGGACGCTGCAGAGGAAGCCGGTGTCCCCATCGCTAACCGCTGAGCCAGCCCCCGCCGTCCCACCCTCTGCAAGCGCTTACGACAGCCACGCAGCACAGGGTTCGAGCCGAGTCTGCGCCCCCCATGGCCGCCCCAGCCTGGGTCCTGGTTTGTGACCTGGGGCAGCACCTGCGGGGGGGGGGGGCGCCGGCGTGCAGTGGCCGGCTGGACCCCAGGGCCTCTCCCTCTGCGAGGACTCACCTCTGCGTCCTCCTGTGAGCCATCAGCACGCTCCCCCCTCCCTCCCCTTCACCCCCCCCCCCCAGGTGTCTGAACAGACCTCGCTCCTCATTTCCCACTCGCTACCCCTGTGGCCGGTGAGGGTGGGAATAGAGGAGGACCAGCAGGTGGCACTGCTGCGCAGGACTGAGCACCGGCTGGGCCGGAGGACTCAGGACCGGCTACTCCCTGCTAGGAGGCCTCAGACCGGCCTCCCACGCTGCCACGGAGAAGCCACCGAGACATCAAAAATCGCTGTTTAAGATGTTGGGTTTTTCCAGACCTTTCTCTGCAGTGTTGATTCTTTTTTTTTTTTTTTTTTTTTTAACATTTTATTGATTTTTCACAGAGAGGAAGGGAGAGGGATAGAGAGCTAGAAGCATCCATGAGAGAGAAACATCGATCAGCTGCCTCCTGCACACCTCCTACTGGGGATGTGCCCGCAACCAAGGTGCATGCCTTTGACCGGAATCGAACCTGGGACCCTTCAGTCCGCAGGCCGACGCTCTATCCACTGAGCCAAAACGTTTTCAGCTGCAGTGTTGATTCTTTACGTGTCTCTGGATGGTGGGGCTTTGGCAGGCACACCCAGTCCACCACACCCCATACACCGACCCACTGCACCCATCTACCCCACCCCACCCCACCCCATCCACGCGGGAGACTCCCAGAGAGTCTGTGTCCTCAGGCCCCAGAGCCCTGGCCACCAGGAGGGGGCAGCAGAGAACACACCGCCAGGACCTTCCCCTCTGTGCCCCGGGGCCTCAAGCTGCAGAACAAAATGCCAGTTCCATGCGGGGCCTTGCCTCTCCCTCCAAGTCCTCCTCCCCCTCTTCTCCCTCCCCTCTCACCTCCTTTTCCTCCCTCTTCCCTCTCGCTTCATCCTCCCCTTCCCCTCCCAGGACCCCTCAACACCCAGCCACATCCAGTTTCCTGCCAAAGCCAGAACCGGCCCCAGCGGAAAGCCATTCATGGTTCAGAGGGAATGGCCTCCTCGGCTGTTTCCAAAGAACTCGAACCCGAGACCCTCCCCGTCCCTGTGGGCAGCTCCAGGGCTGGGGGGAGGGGAGGTCCCACAGCAGGATTTGGACCTGGACCCGCAGTGACACCGCCTTGGCCCCGAGAGGGCGCCGCTGAGACCAGCGCGGTCTGCCCCTTGCCTGGTGGAGACCGGAGCCGGTGCCCGCATCGTGCCGAGTGCCTGGAAGGCACCAGGCGGGAGCCCGGGCTGCCAGGACCCAGGCCACACCAGCTCACAGCCCTGGATTCTATGTGCATGTGCTTTAAAAATAAGTTTTTATTGATTTCAGAGAGGAAGGGAAAGAGAGAGAGAGAGAGAGAGAGAGAGAGAGAGATGGAAACATCAATGAGGAGAGAGGATCATGGATCGGCTGCCTCCTGCACCCCCCCCCCCCACTGGGGATGGAGCCCACTACCCAGGCCTGTGTCCTTGACTAGGAATTGAACCATGACCTCCTGGTTCAGAGGTCAACATTCAACCACTGAGCCACACCAGCCAGGCATGTGCACACATGTTGCCACAATAAACGTATTTAAAGTTTTTCAAAGACAGGAATGGCTTTGTGCTTAAAACTTGGCATCGCATCAGGACCATCCCATGGGGATGCCACGTGGGAAGGCACGGTGTTCTCAAGGGGATGGAGACGCCGATTACAATCTGAGCCATTTTAACAGGGGCCATGTCAGCCAGCCAGCAGCAAAGGGCGTTGGTTTCTAAAAGCAGGTGTGAGAGTCAGGCCGGCTCTTTCCCTCCGAGGCGGGGAGACCAGCGTGGTCCTTCCCGCCGCTCATTAGCGTCCGCAGGCGCTGAAGGGAGCGATCCCTCACTCCTACGTGCTGGTGCTTCTTCCCCCAAACCCATCACCGCCGGGAGGCGCTGGGGAGGAGGGAGAGGGCGAGCTCCAGGGAGCTGCTTCCTGTCCGCGGTCTGCGGGAGGGAGAGTGACCCGGCCTCCCTGTGCTGAGGATGGAGCAGGAATTAAAAACCGTTCTGCAGCCCTGGCCACTGCGGCTCAAGGGATAGAGCGTCGGCCTGTAGACTGAGGGTCCCGGGCTTGATTCTGGCCAAGGGCCCAGGCCCAGGTTTGGGGCTCAATCCCCAGTGGAGGGTGTGCAGGCGGCAGCAACCAGTGATTCTCTCTCATCACTGATCTCTCTCCTTCTCCCTCTCCCTTCCTCTCTGAAATCAATAAAAAATATATTTTTTAAAAAAATTGTTCTGCAGCGGCCAGCCCACAATCTAGAAAACATTTCATCTCCTTTGCGTCCCCCTGACTGACAGAGATGGGGAGGCGGAGGGGCGGGGATTGTGGGGTTACCGGTTGAGGGCGGAGCCGGGGAAGGCTGCTCACCAGCGACCTCGTGGGCGGCGATGTGGGGAGAGAGGAACATGCGTTTTGTCAGTGCTGAGCGGTGGGGCCGTGTCACGGCTTCCAGGCCGCTTGGCTTTCTAGTGCTGACACGCAGCCACACGCTCACGGCGCAGACACGTCTGAACCCTGAATCCACAGGCCCACGCCCTCCCGAGTGGTGTCGTCCCCCGGGCCCTGGGCCCTGTGGGTACCACGCGGCCTGGGAAGATGTCGGAGCACGAACGGAGACAGACATCTCGCAGAGAGCAGGCCTGGCTGCAGGTCCCGTCCCGTCTCTCCTCCCCGGACGCGGGCCCGTCGGCGGGGGGGACGGGCGCTCCCGGAAGGCCGTGGTGGCCTGCGGAGGGTCCACGCCAACAGGACTGGAGGGGAGCAGATGGTACAGGGAGGGACTCGGAGGAGGAACGAGGAATACGGCGGGAAGGGCCGAGGAACGCTTATTCTGGTAAGGGTTCAGGACCACGGACAGGGCCCAGGGTTGGCCTATTTCTCTTCATTTTCATCTACAAATAAAAGCAGGGAATTCCAACCAAAGGGTGGATCCTCCCGGGAAGCAGCTGTGGGACTCACTCCCACGAGCACCAGACCAGGAGAGAGCTCCCGGGGTTTGAAATCGAGGCCGGGAGGCTGCGGCCTCCTCTGAGGACGGGAAAGGCGCTCGGTGACTATGGCGACGGGCCCCGTGCTTCCGTGGGCTCTCTGCACGTAGCTTCGTCCCCCTTTTCACGAGGCCAATCCAGGCAACGGCACAAAGCCTCCTCTTCCAGTTCCCCGAACCCCAGCAGCCTGCCTCCTGGACCCTCTTACAGACCGTTCAATGTTCACGTCTGTAACACAGCCCGCTTCTCCCACCCCTGGCCCCGCCCCCTCCCACAGGCCCCTCACGCCCGGCCAACTCCTCCCGCCCTGCAGAGCCCCCCTCCGGCGCCCGTTTCTCCTGCAGGAGTCCCCCATCTCCTTTCCCCGCTCAGCCCGAGGCCCAGCTGCACGCCTCCGTGCTGAGCCCACGTGTGCGGCTTAGCCTTGGCCTCCGTTATGGGTGGGTTCCTCGCTGTGTATGGCATTGGAAGGGAGGCCTTGAACAAGCCGAGGGCTTTGCCTTGGACTGTTCGACAGGAGCGAGCAGGTCGGACACATGCACGCTCCCGCCAGCCCACGCCTCGCCCGGACGCCTGGCCTGCCGCCAACGCGGGGCTGTGCCTCTGCCGGGAGCACGGGGGTTTGTCTCAGGGACTCCAGGACAGGCTGCTGCTGGCCTGGACTCTGTGTGCGCCCAGAAAACCTCGTCTCTCGGAAGGTAATGGTGCCTGAGAAGTGTTTCCAACGACGTGTGTCATCAGAAACTAAACTGCCTCCTGAAGGAAAACAATTAGCCCGCTAATGAACCGGTTACCTTCACTGCGATCTTCACTCGAAGGAACCAGTTACCAGTTAAACGTGGGCTGCTAATTGCTCGTTGAGGAACGCCATTTTCAATCACTCTCTTTGCCTAAAACCTCCCGCCAGTAAAACTCGGGGCCTCTGCCGAGACTGCGGATGCCGCACCACGCACGCTTATCGGGAGGGGCTGCGGGCGGCGGCGACCGAGCGCGGGCACTGACACGGGGGTGGGGGGCGCTCTTGTCCCCACAGGCCGATTGGGGTGAAAGAGTGTGGATGAGGCACACTGGAAGAGTGATTTCGGGGTGCTCCGCCCGAGACCCGCCCCCCCACAGCATGGGAACCAAAGGGGGGCGATTGAGAGGCACAGGCATTGCCCGCAAACCCCATGAACACCCAGTGCTCCCGGGCTGGCGAGGGGCCTGTGTGCGGGGTCGGCTGGTGAGCAGCACCGCCCCCCAGTGAGTCCCACAGATCGCCCAGCGGCCGCCCAGGAGCGCCGCCTGCCCCTCGTTTCACTCCTGCAAACCGAGAGGGTGTCCGTGCCCCCTGCAGTGAGGGGCAGGGGCAGGGGCTCCGAGGCGCCCGCCTCCCCGTGGGGACGCAGCCGCCGTGTGGGCCGCGTGCTGGCAGGAGCCTGACGCCGTGGCGCCTGTCTCAGCCCCTCGGCGGGACGGCGCACGCACGCCGACGCGGAGACAAAAGCACTTAACGAGCATGACACCGCGTCCAGACGGCGGGTCTGAGTCATCGCTCACGGCGGAGCTGCCAGCCACGGGAGCCTGGAGAGCCGGGGCGGCCCATGAGGGCGGAAGCCGATCCGAGCCTCGCCACCCGGTGCGGCTCCCGCCGCGTGACAGCCGGGAAAAGGCAGAACAGCAGCAATCAGACCTGCAGCTCGGCTCCAGCTGCCGTGACTCAGCTCCGCGCTGCTTCCTGTCCTCACGGGACAGCCCAGCGGCCACGGGAGGGAGCCTGAGGGTCACGGGCACAGGTACGCAAGTTGGTTCCACACAGGCTGTAGGACCTGGAACATTGTCATCGGCAAGGTCAGAACTGGCGAGCCCCGCGGGAGCAGGGCACCCCATCACCCCGTCACCTCGTCACGCCGCCTGAGGCCCGGAGGGAAGGACCCAGCTGGCGCGAGAGCCCCAGTCCCACCGCCAGCGCGCCCATCGGCCCAGCGCACCCATCGGCCCAGCGCGCCCATCGGCCCAGCGTGCCCATTGGCTCAGCGCGCCCATCAGCCCAGCGCGCCCATCGGCCCAGCGCGCCCATCGTCCCAGCGCGCCCATCGTCCCAGCGCGCCCATCGTCCCAGCGCGCCCATCGGCCCAGCGCGCCCATCAGCCCAGCGCGCCCATCGGCCCAGCGCGCCCATCGGCCCAGCACGCCCATCGGCCCAGCGCACCCCTCAGCCCAGCGCGCCCATCAGCCCAGCGCGCCCATCGGCCCAGCGCGCCCATTGTCCCAGCGCGCCCATCGGCCCAGCGCGCCCATCGGCCCAGCGCGCCCATCGTCCCAGCGCGCCCATCGTCCCAGCGCGCCCATCGTCCCAGCGCGCCCATCGGCCCAGCGCGCCCATCAGCCCAGCGCGCCCATCGGCCCAGCGCGCCCATCGGCCCAGCACGCCCATCGGCCCAGCGCGCCCATCGGGCCAGTGCGCCCATCGGGGCCAGTGCGCCCATCGGGCCAGTGCGCCCATCGGGGCCAGTGCGCCCATCAGCCCAGCGTGCCCATCGGCCCAGCACGCCCTTCGGGGCCAGCGCGCCTAGGGAACGGGTCCCGCCGGAAAGGTTCTCTTTGAAATGACTCAGGAGGCCTGGCCGCCTCCGTTTCCCCGGGAAGCAGAGGGGGAGGGGCAGCCCTCCCAGGGAGGCGGCAGGAAGGACGGGCCGAGAGCCCACCAGGGCCGAGAGCCGGCCTCGGGGAGAGGGTGGGGTCTATTTCACACAACCGCCCAGGCCCCCATCCAGCTGCCTCCTGGGCACCCGCTGACCAGCCGGTAACCTGCGCCGCGAACCAAGTCCCCGCCGAGGCCAGCGAGTGGCACTAAGGGCGGCCGTGCCGGGCTCCGCTGATCCCTGGGCCGGGCCTGTCCACCCGCAGGCTCCTCACCCGCCTGCTCGGCAGGTGTGGAAGCTCCGTCTCCCCGAGAGCCGTGGGCTCAGAGGTGTGCCCTCTCGCCCCATGGAGGCCCCCTCCCCTGGGAAGGCAGACGTGGCCGGGCGGGGGGTCGTGTGGGCGGCTCCATCGCGCTCCGGCTCAGCCACCCACGCCGAAGGGCAGGGAGCCGCACTCAGGTTACTTAGCCAACACGGGTCACCTGGCCGCAGACCCGTGGCACGGAGCTCACGGTGGGAACTGCGGCGTGCGCATCCGGACTGAGCGGAGGGTGGACGGCCTGCAGACCCGGCCGCTGGGCGCCTGCCCTCCGGCGGTCCAGAAGCCGATGGACAGGCACAGCTCACGGCCTCCGGTCCCCGTGGGGCACGGCTGACCCACGGGGTCACTGCGTCTCCCGACCTGCCTTCCCGCCCCGTGTGCTGCTGCCTGGAAGGAATTCTGAACGACCCCTTTCCTGCAGCCTCGACGCAGCTTCGGACTCAGCGTTCTCACGTCCACGCTCCCGCGGACAACGCTGGGCACCACGGCTCCCCGTGACCCAGGAGGCCACACGCCCCACTGTCCCCACAACTCCCCCTGACCCCAGTGAGGCCTGGAGCCGCTCAGGGTCAGCCGCACACCCCACTGTTCCCCGGCTCTGGCTCTCTCTGCCTCCATTTCTCCCCCAGGACGCCACCCTCCCGCAGCACCCAGCTCTGTCTCCACCTGCGGCCCCTCCTTCTGCAGGCGGCCCCTGACCCTGAGCCCTCCCGCTGCCCGGGCTGTGCCCGCGGGGCACTCACGCCGAGCCCCCTGAGCCCTCACACTGAGCCCCCAGTCCTCACACTGTGCTGTTAAAACACAGGCCACTTCTCTTTAAAAGCCCGCGCAGCTTTGGTGGGTGTGGCTCAGTGCATAGAGCGTCGGACTGTGGACTGAAGGGTCCTGGGTTCTATTCCGGTCAAGGGCACAGGCCCGGGTTTCGGGCTGGATCCCCAGTAGGGGGCGTGCAGGAGGCAGACAATCAATGATTCCGGCCAATCATTGATGTTTTTCTCTCTCTCTCCCCCTCTCCCTTCCTCTGTGAGATCAATAAAATACATTTTAAAAAGTAAAATAAGAAGGCCGCGCACACCCAGGTACGACCTTCACCGCCCCTCCCCCCGGAGCCTGTAATGAAATGCGTGTAGTTACTTCCTCCGAGGCCGCCTCTGCATCTGCGTCTGTGTCTGCGTCCGTGGTGGGCGCGGGGTCCAGGGCCATGTCCTCCTCGGGCGTCTGGGGAGAGACACACAGGACGGCCGTCAGCAGGCGGGCGATGACGGGCCGGTGCCGATCCAGAGGGCTCACGGGACCCGGTCAGCACGGAGAACGTGGCCGCCCACGCCCTCCCCCACCCCAGCTCCCTGCACCTGCTCCGTGCACCCTCCCCGACAGGCCCGGGGGAGGCAGCGACCGTCAGAGCGGTGGTCCTTTCACACAGCTCCTCACGTGTGGTGACGCCAGCACAACATCGTTGTTGTGCTACTTCATAGCTGTGACTTCGCTGCTCTTACGGATCGTCATGTGACTGTCTGACATGCAGGATGTCTTAGGCGACCCCTGGGGAAGGGTCGCTCAACCCCCAAAGGGGTCACGACCCCCAGGCGGAGAACCGCTGGGTTAGAGCCACGAGTGCACATGACCACACTGGCCAATCGGGCGCAGCACCCACCAGGCTCGTTGGGAGCGGCCGGCGGCCTGGGGCACCGGGCGACAGGGCAGGCCCACCGGCTCCGCTCCGAGGAGGACGGAGTCCGGGGAGGACGGAGTCCGGGGAGGACGGAGTCTGGGGAGGACTTCCGAGGGGCGGTCTCTGCTCGCTGCTCAGGGTCTCAGGCTGTTGCGGGCCGAGCCTCGGTTTCCCCATTGTGCATTCAGGGCCGCAGCAGCGCCGGCCTCCGACAGGAGCCTCCCCCTCGGCCGCGCCGTCCACAGGAGGCAGGCTCAGCACGGCCGCGCTCCCCTCTCTGGGGAAACACCCTGTGCCCCGCTATCCGGGGGCCTGGCCCCCAAACCATAGTAAACACAAACTGGCAACTCCTCCTCCACAGCAGGCCGCTCCTTCAGCGTGAAATCGAGCCGTCTGACTGTCTTAGCGCAGGGAGTACGCACTCGTGCCTGCATGAGGCATTAACACGGGAGAATTAAAAGTGTGGGCCTGTGGTGGGAATGGGAAACAAGGCGAGCATCAGGGTTTGTAGAGAGTCAGCCAGTGGCTGAAGTCGGCCGTTCTCCCACGCAGGGGCGCGGCTGCGACAGCGCCGGCCCCGGGGAATCCGGTCGGTCTGTCGGTCACTCTGGGAACTCCTCCAGGAAGTGGGTCTGCGGGCCGCCTGTGATGCACCCTGAGCACAGTGCTCCATTCCCCCCCTTACCGCCCCCTCCACCAGCGCTGGCCCGAGGTGATCTGGATGTTCTTCCCGTACCCCGAATTTCCCGCCCCCCTCAGGCCTCCGTGAGGGCCAGGCACTGGGAGCCCCACTGTGCAGGCTGCTCTGCTCCCCTTCCCTGCAGCCGGCGGAAGCCTCCCTCGGGGCCACTTGTTGAAGGAAAACCCGGGATGCGGTAACCCGGCAACGAGGGGAGGCAGGCTGAGCGGGCGCCGAGCAGCGCCTCCTCCCATTCATTCGTCCACAAACACGTCTGCACCCGCTCCGTGCTGTGAGCGTGTGTACACACTCACACGGAGTTCGCGTGTGTGCCTGCACATGCATGTTTATAACAGCGTGCACCTCCATGCACGTGAGGTGCCCAGGTCCCTGCGCAGACAGTCCCTCGCTGAGCTGAGCCCGCGGTACATGGTACAGACCCCGAGCTGCGGCAGGTCCCCAGACCGAGGAGTGCACCCCCCCCCCTCCCCACGCACCTCGCTCTCCATGGGCTCCACCTCGATCCTCTTCCATAGCTCCAGCAGCTGTGCGATCGGCATGCCGGCAAACTTTCCCTCCGGCCGCGCTGACGGGCGGGAGGAGACGGGGCCGGGCCGGGGGGGCCCAGGACGTCAGCGCTGACGGCAGAGGGGCCCGCAGGCCAGGCCGGGGTGGGCAGGGAGCCCAGTCCTCAATATGGCTGAGAGCGGGCGTGCCTCCCGCCACCCAGGCTCCCGGCCGCAGCCACTGCTGCTCCAGCTCCCGGATCCCAGCTCCTGGCTCCCGGCTCCCGGCTCCCGGTCCTCCAGCTGCAGGCGAAGGAACCGCAGCTGGAGACCCAGCCACGACCCGGTGAGAGCACGCGAGCTGGCAGCATCCGGTCACCGCCCCCCCCCCCATCGCCTCCCCCTACTATTTACCTTACTTGGCTCGGAGGGAGGGGTGAGAGTTGGGTCTGAGGATGCCGCTGCCATGGAAACTGCCTAGCAACCAAGGGCTGGGGGAGGGGCGGGAGGAGGGAGGGGCCCTGCTACAGGCTCTGCCCTTCTCCCTTCCGGCGTGCACGCACACGCATACGCACATGCATACGCACACACACACACACACGCACACACACTCTCACCCACACACACACTCTTACACGCTCACACACAAACATGCATGCTTCACACAACACATGCACAACACACACATTTATGCACACCCACTCACACACATACACACACTCATACACACACGTGTGCATAGACATTCACACACACATACACACACACACACACACACACACACACACACACACACCCTCCCTTCCTTTGCCAAGGGTCTCCCTAAGCCGGCACGACCCCGTTAGCAGGAAGGAAGCGGCCAGGGCCCGGGAGGACTCCCTGTGCCCCCATCGCAGCTGAGGGCGGCAGCAGCGGCTCTGCCCCCGGAAGCCTCAGTCAGCGCCGGCGGCGGAGAGGCCCAAGGCCCCGGGAGAGGCGTGGGGCCGGGGGGGCTCTTCCCCAGGAGCCGGGCCACGGAGCCGCCTCGGGAGCGTGCGGACAGGCAGTTCGGTGACTCTGCCCGCTCCCGGTCTGCGAGGCAGGACCAGCTTTGGGGGAAGGATCTTCACGTTTCCCAGGGTCCGGGAAGGGGCTGCTGGCTTCCTCCCTCTCTTCCCCACCAGACGTGGCTCACGCCATCCCACAGGCGAGAGCGCCCCCCACAGGCCCAGCGGCAGGCAGGCCGGGCCGCCTCGCTGGGACGCCCTCGGTCTGACGGGGCCTCAGAGCACCGTCTTCTGGGGAAACTCCCTGCTCTTCTCTCTTCTCTCTGTCTCTTGTCTTCTTCCTCACCCCACCGGCCTCAGAATGGACGGCGATGCCGACCTCCGCCCCAGAGCGCGCCTGAGCTCCGACCTCCGGGGGGCAGTGCTCACTAACAGCCTCCTCCTCCTCCACGGCCTCTCTCCCTGAGCAAACGCCTTCCCTTCAGAAAAACATCGCGGAAACGCTTCCTGCCTCCGGCTACTGTCCATCCCCTCCTTTCCATCTTTATAAAATCATGAGAATCTGCCCTGGCGGGTGTGGCTCAGTGGATGGAGCATCAGCCTGCGGACTGAAGGGTCCCGGGTTCGATTCCGGTCAAGGGCATGTGCCTTGGTTCCGGGCACATCCCCAGTAGGGGGTGTGCAGGAGGCGGCTGATCGATGTTTCTCTCTCATCGATGTTTCTAACTCTCTATTCCTCTCCCTTCCTCTCTGTAAAAAAATCAATAAAAATATATTTTTTAAAAATCATTGAGAAATCTAGTTTATTAGCAAAAACAAAACACACACACACACACACACACTAAATTTAAAAAATAGCCAGAATCCCAGATACTTTGTACGGTATTTAGAGCAAAAACAAAAATGAGAGCAGACTCCGCAGGAGAGTCCCCCGGTGCTGATTTGAGGGCGTCCCTGTGTGGGGCCGGATGTGAGCAGAGGGGCCGTGGCCGGCACAAGTCACAGGGGGAGCCCCAGCACCCGTGAGGGCAGACAGAAAGCGGGGTTTCCCCCCTCCCCCCGGGCAACCTTTCCCCTAGCTTATCACAGTCATGCGGTTTGGGTGGAAACATCCACGATGAGAGAGAATCATGGATCCCTGCCTCCTGCACGCCCCCCACTGTGGATGGCGCCCACAACCCGGGCCTGTGCCCGGGCCGGGAATCAAATTGCGACCGGGAATCAAACTGAGCCCCGCCCGCTGGGCCATAGTGTCATTTCTCAAGATGAGGCCCCTCTGGAGAGGGGCGGTCCTGTTCAGTACAACGGGCATCCTTCCGGAGCCCGGCCAGGACGAGTGAGAGCAGACACCTCGGGCCGGCAGCTCCCCCGGGAAACACGCGTGTGGGCGTGTGAGACGGGCCCGCAGCCTCCGTCGCTTTGCTGTCGCTTTTCTTTGGAAACAGCCTTTGTCTCTCGGCTGAACGCTGCCTTCCCAGCGCGCCCACGGCCCAGCGCCCGCGCCTCCCCCCTCTGGTGGCGTGGACGGCGCTCCTCGGCCTGGCCGTGGCGGCTCCCGGCTCGCTCCGCAGAAAGGGCTCCGAACGACCCTGAGGGCCGGAGCACGGGGATTCTCGGGCTGCGGAGCCGGCCAGGTGCGCGGTGACCACACGGGACCGGCCCGTCCGGACACTGCCCTCGGGGGCCCGGGTCTGGCCGGTGCCCCCCGGAGTCGGGTTGTTCACGGGAAGACAGGACGTGGTGCCCTGACCTCCCTGCACCAGCTCCCCTCCCGGGACCCACAGAGGCCCAGCCTGGCCGTGCCATGCCCGAGCCGGGACCATCTCCCCGAAACAAGGGGCCCCACCCCACGCAGGCGGGCGGGCGGGCAGGCAAGGGGAGCTGTCCTCTGACCTCGCACCCCTGCCCCCCGGAGGCCAGCCCGGGCTCTGCTGAGACGCCCTCTGCGAACGGTCCCCCTGCCTCCCGGCCACCCTGTCCCCGGTCTGACTCTCGCGTCCCGGGCTGAGACAGCTGGTGAAGCTGCTCCCGCAGGAGCCGGCAGGCCTGCCCGTCACCCCCCAGGGCCGGTGCAGAGCGGCCGGGCCGTCACCCAGGTCTGCCGAGCCCTGTCCCCGCGCCCAGGTGCCCACGGCCTGGCGCCCAGGTGCCCACGCCCGGCATAACACCACGGCGCCGCCGACCCTCGGAGCCCCCGGGCCTCACACAGGAAGGGGTAGGAAACCCCGTGCCTGGTGGGTGTTTAATCCTCTCTCAGAGGCGAGGATCCTTTCTCCACTGACTGTTAGAGAGGAAAGCATGCAGGAGGGGGAGAGGGAAACATGTGAGAGACACATGATTGTTTGCCCCAACGATTACCTGCCCTTGATGGGGACTGAACCCAAGACCCTGTGGTCCATGGGCCGATGCTCTAACCACTGAGTACACGGCGGGGGCGCCACACGGTTGTTAACTGTGAAGCCACGGGCCTGGGCCTCACGTCCCCCTCCCTGCTGGCTGAGGCCTGGGTCGGCCGGGACCGGGCTGCGGTGCAGGACGGAGGCGTGGGGGAGCCAGGGGAGCGAGCTGAGGACGCACAGCACGGGTCCCGTCTGCCTCCCGCCCCCCGTGCACAGCCCTGACCGGGAGGGGAAAGGAGGAGGGGAGGGGGCCCGAGGAGGGGGTTCCGTGGAGCTGACGCTGCCCTCGCTCTGGCCACAGGAGCCTGCGGACGCCCGCGCGGAGCAGGGACAGCTGGCCTGACCCCGGGCGCTCGGCTTTGTGCACATCCAAGGCCGCCCGGGCTGAAACCATGGCGACGGGGAGACAGGGCAGCCGCTCCTCTGGGAATGGGAGGCCGACAGAGGGGGACACGTGGGTCCCAGCAACGAGGGGACCTGCTTCCCGGGGCCTCCCCCTGCCCAGCACGGTGCGCGGCCCGGCCCACTGCCCGTCAGAGCCTGCACGCCCCTCCGGGGGCACAGGGCACTGGGCACCGGGCACCAGGCTCACCCTGCCCCATCCCCTCCGGGCACCGGCTCACCCCGCCCCCCCCCACCTCCGGGCACCGGCTCACCCCGCCCCGTCCCCTCCGGGCACCGGGCACCAGCTCACCCTGCCCCGCCCCCTCCGGGCACCGGGCACCGGCTCACCCCGCCCCGTCCTCTCCAGGCACCGGCTCACCCCGTCCCACCCCCTCCGGGCACCGGCTCACCCCGCCCCGTCCCCTCCCTCCGGGCACTGGGCACCAGCTCACCCCGCCCCGCCCCCTCTGGGCACCGGGCACCGGCTCACCCCGCCCAGCACAGGGCTGCCTGGTGCAAAGCCTCGGGTAGAGAGCCGTCTGCCCTAAAGTGCCCCTCCCCGCTCTCTGCAGGGGCCCGGCCCACAGCAGAGGGTGGTAACGGCCAGCCCCAAGCGGAGGGGGCTGCTGGCTGTGGGCAGGAAGTGGCTCCGAGGCACCCGCTGTCGGCACAGAAGGGGGGCATCGCTCTGAGGCAGAGGCTGCTGCTCCTTCAGCCTCGCTCGCCTTAACAGCCTTCACAGCGGCAGCACAGGGACAGGAAGTGGGCCCAGCTGGTGCTTGCACGGGTTCTGACGCGTTTCCAACGCCCGCAGCCTCGCTGCGCCCTGAGCAGGCGCTGAGCATCCGTCAGTCCCCAGGAGCCAGGGCAGGGTCCGTGCAGGCTTGCTGTGAGAATTAGTAAGATCCGGTGTGAAGCACCGGATAGGATGCAGGCCCCTGTACGCTGTGATTCACATGGAACCAGTGTGGCCGTGGACCGGAACCCCAGCTGGGACGAGCGCCTGCAGGGAGGGCCGCTTGTCCTGAGTCCGACGCAGACAGAAGGAGGAGAACAGGTGTGAGGGAGCCTGGTCCACACGGGAACGGCCTGGGCTTCCCGATGGCGCGGGGCGGGGCGGGGCGGGGCGGCCCAGCTGCCGCCACAATTGGTTCCTGTGTTCCGGGGAGACCGTTTGGGGCAGGAACAGCCTCTGTGGGAGGACGGAGCCTGGCCAACAGGAGCCGAGTGGGAGCCTGATCAAACCGTATCTGAAGGCGATTCTCAATTACTCAGGACTATAATACCCTTCTTTCTTTTTGTATTTTAAAAAATCTTTATTGTTGAAAGCACTGCATAGGCCCTCCTGTACCCCACTGACCCCTCCAGCCCGCCCCGCCCCTGCCCTATTGTCCGTGTACACACAAGCTCTTTGGTTGATAACCTTTCACCCATCTACCCTCCCCGCCTTCCCTCTGAGGTTCAGTCTGTTCCCTGCTCCCGTGCCTCTGGATCTAGTTTGTCCATTGATTTTGTTCATTAGATTTCACCATAAATGAGATCATGTGACACTTGTCTTTCTCTGACTGGCTTGTTTCACTTAGCATGATACTCTCCAGGCCCCTCCAAGCTGTCTCAAAGGGCATCCTTCTTCCTACAGAGATCCTTTTTTACTGCTGTGCAGTATCCTGTGGTGTGAATGGCTTTTTATCCTAGGATGGGCCTGGGCTGTTTCCAGATCTTAGCTCCCGTCCATGGTGAGCTAAGATCTGGAAAGTCTTCTGATGGTGCTTCGGGTCTCTTAGGATACAGCCCTGGAGGTGGGATCCCTGGTTCGATGGCAGTTCCGTATTTAGTTTTTTTGGGAAACTCCATACTGCCCTCCACAGTGGCTGCATCAGCCTGCATTCCCACCAGCAGGGCACAGGGCTCCTTTCACGTGTAAAGACACCTCCCATGTTTTGTCACTCATGACTACAAGGACCCATGTGACAAGCACGTGTGTGGATCCTGTTTCCGGGAACATACGTGTTGGCGTCCACTTTGGGGAAACGCGTTGGAAGGCAGAGGGACCGCTGTGGGTGTGATCACAGATCATCGTCACCAGCTCCAGGCCCTCTGGCTGGTGCCTTCCCCCGAGTCCTCCCTCCTCAGGGAGTGTGTCCCCCCTCCCCACGGCCCAGGGGGCCCTCAGCAGCGTTAACCCTGCCCATCACCTGGAACGGGAGCCGCTGCCCACCCAGCACCTGCTGCCTCCCACCCCCACTCCCCCACCCCTGCTCCGGCTGCGGCTCCTCCCGTCCGCTCTGACCCTCAGCCCACTCGGGAGACACAGGCACCTTTCCAGCACCTGCTAGCCCAGCAGCTGCGCCCGGCACTGCGGCCGCTGGAGCAGTGACGTCTGGGGGGCCCAGAACGTACCCCGACAATCCAGAGAGCAGAGCGGGTGGCACGGGCCCACCCAGGCCAGCCAGCCCGGTCACCACGTGCTGGGACCCGGGCCCTGCGCCCTGCAGCCCCTGGACCGCGTGGGGTGACCTGGGAGAGGATCCAGGCACCTCGTTCCTATGTGGGTGCCTGGCAGCGGGTCCCGAAGGCCGGCCAATTGGACCCAGGTTTCCAAGGACTGACTGACCTATGACCCGGAGGCCCAGGCCTGATAGAGGAGGGGCCTGAGTGCCTGACCTTTGGGTTAGAGAGCAGGGCAGCGCTGTGCCCGCCGGGAGCCGCCTGGCACCTGTGACCACACCCAGTCCCTCTGGGAGGGCGAGACTGCAGCCCTCGGACCCACGCCCGCGCCTGTGCCCAGCTGCGAGGGACGCTGCGGGGACGTGTGGCCACCTCTGGCCTCGGGGACCGAGAACTGTCCACCCCGAGGCGGGGGGACGCCCCAGCTTGGGAGCGGGAGCCCAGAGGAGCCGGTGCCAAGGAGGCAGCCCGGAGGGAAGCGGGGTCCTCGGCCGCGGCCCGCCACCCGCCCGGCGCCCGGCAGAGACACGGAGAGACCAGAGGGAGAGAATGGCTTTATTCAGGGAGCGGATCCATCCACCGGGGAGTGAAAGGTGACACCGAACAGCTGAGCCACAGCAGCCACGTGCTTCCCGCCTCCGGACAGCAGGGCTGCAGGCCTCTCACCACGCGAACGCTGGCCCAGGCGCCTCGGCCGGCTAGGGGGGCGGCGGGTAGAGGACGGGGCCGTCCTTGCACACCTGCAGGTCCTGGGCGAGGCCGGCGCCCCCCGCCCCGCCGGCCGGCGCCCCCGGCCGCCCGGGCTCCGCGCAGCCCCGCAGCTGCAGGTCCTTGGTGAAGCACAGCTCGATCTGCCCCAGCAGCTGCACCTCCTCGCCCTGCGGAGACGGTCACTCAGTTCTCGCGTGACGGAGCCCGGCCCCCCGGCGGGACCCGGAGCTGACCAGAGGCGGCTCCAGCCAGACGCTCCGGGCACCCGTCCCCGGCGCTGCCAGCCCGCCAGGCCCCCCGGACACACCACAGCCCGCGTGTGAACCGGGCCGGGGCCACCGAGTCACAGCAGACCTTCCCAGCTCCGATGCCAACCCACAGGGACCCACCTCCCCTCCCGGGACAGTGCATCCTGGGTAGGAAGGGACCAACACCCTGCCCCAGGGCCTGGAGCCAAAGAACAGGTGGTTTCAACACACACTCACACACACTCTCACACCACACATACACAAACACACACACGCGCACACACACTCACAGCATATGCCGTGTATACCCCACACAGCACATGCCTGCACCACTTGCATGTGCACACACACACAAGCAGCACCCGGGAACTCCACGTGAGCACACAGCCCAGCAGTGTGGCCCCCACTGCTCGGCACAGACCGCAGCGCACAGCCCTGACCTGCTCGGGCGGGAGACACTGGATCTTGGGTGGGACCCCGTACAGGCTGGAGAGGGCATCCTTGATGTCTGACACCTGGAATGGAGTGACGTGTCAGAGGGGAACGCCCCAGAGGAGCCAGACCCGTGGCCAGGACCCGTGGCAGGACCTCCCTGAGCCCCACGTCAGGCCTCCCATCTGCTCCAGGGGAGTCCGTCAAACCCCACGGCCTGCACCCACCCAGGCCTCCGAGGAGGATGCTCAGGGCAGCGAGACCCGGTCCCCAGGCCCCGTCCTTCCCCGCCCCCTCTGTGGGAGTACACAGACTCCGGACCGAGCCACAGAGCAGACCGTGGGCAGGGGTGACCCTCTGTCTGGCCACGGGGCCCCAACCCCGAACTCCTGCCAGGCCTACCCTCCTCACCCACACCTGTGCCCGCCTGGGTTGTGGGCCAGATCCTCAGTGCGGGCGAGCAGGAGGCAGCCGATCTGTGTTTCTCTCATCAGTTATAAACGTCCGCTGGAGCCGCCCCGAGCAGGGAGGGAAGTGGGTGGCTCCCTCTGGCTTCGGCGCAAGGCCGGGGCATGTGTGGGCCGGGGAGCGGGACGTGGCGGGACGCAGCGGCAGACGCGGCAGCGACTCACCTGGTAGTAGTTGCCCCCGGACGGGACCACCCCCAGCTTCTGCAGCATGCTGGAAGCAAAGCGAGGACAGGCTGTTAGCCAGCCCTCTCCTCCTCGTTCTTCTCAGCCTCACTTCCCCTGACCCAGTCCCGCGTCCTCCGGCCCCGCTTCCCCGGGACGGCAGCCGGCCTGTGAGGACGGCCAGCGCATGGCCGAGGCGGCTGCCGCCCCCCCCCTCCTCCCTCCTCCCCCAGCGCCCCTCCCCCGCACCCAGTGTCCGTGGCTGCAGCACGTGGCCGAGGCCGCACCACGTGCCCGTGGCCAGGGCCGGGCAGGCCTGAAGGGGCCGGAGGACGTCTCAGACCCTCACCCGGAGCCCCGGTCCCGCAAGGGCCGCTCCTCCCAGGGCCCCCGCCAGCGAGGCGGGGAGGGGGCGGCGGGGGAGGCGGCCACGCTACCTGTTGAGCGCCAGCGCCCGGTACAGGTCCAGGGCCTTCCCGAAGTACTTCCTCTCCGAGCCCAGGGCCTCCAGCTGCGCCACGCACGTCCCGTGCTTCTCCCACTCGTGCTTCCTGGAAGGGGCGCCGCGCTGGGACCTCAGGAGGCCGGGCGCCCCGGAGGGTCCCCGCCTCTCCCGGCACAGGGCGCCCCCGGAAGGTCCCTGTCCTCTCCCGGCACAGGGCGCCCCGGGGGGTCCCCGTCCTCTTCCAGCACAGGACGCCCTCGGAGGGTCCCCGGTCCCCAATCCTCTCCCCGGCACAGGGCGCCCCCAGGGGGTCCCCGCCCTCTCCCAGCACAGGACGCCCCTGGGGGGTCCCCGCCTCTCCTGGCACGGGGCGCCCGGCAGGGGGTCCCTGCCCTCTCCCAGCACGGGGCACCATCGGGGGGGGGCCCCCCCGCCCTCTCCGCACGGGGTGCCCGGCAGGGGGTCCCCGCCCTCTCCCAGCACAGGGCACCCGTGGAGGCCTGCGGTGCCTTCCCGGTGAAAGCACAGGCTCCCCCAGCCGCCCGGGTGCTGACCTCCCGCCCCCCACGCCGTGAACTCGCAGCCCTGGGGACCCCCCTCTCCTCCCATGAGCACGGGAGGTGGGGGCCTGAAGGAAGGCGCTGCCCCCTCGCTGCCCGGCACCCCCCTAACAGCACCCGCAGCCGGCTCCATGGCGCGGTCCCTCCCGAGCGCCCGGCGGTCACTGAGATGCTGGCCTGGCTGGCTCCGCCCACGTTCGGGCGTCCACGTCCGCGGACAGCAGCCCAGCCCGGGGCCGGCCATGGCACAGCGACTGGTGTTCGAGGAAATGGCTACTGACTGTCTCTACGGTGTGGTGACACCAACGTCTGGCCGGCGCTTCCACGCGCTCGGTCTCACAGCTCCCCAGGCTGTTACCAGAGGGGACACTGAGGCTCGGAGGGGCTGGCCGGGCACACGCCACAGGCACCGCCAGGAAGCCCGAGCCCACATCCAGCGCCACCCGACTTCCCGGTCACTCCCTGCGGTGGCACAGCCACCCGCGCCTGTCAATCGCAGACACGGGCCTCCTCCACTGCCCGCAGCCACGCCCCGAGGGAGAGCGCCCCGGACATCAGTGACCGGCCCACTCTCACCCCGCTCCTGCTCAAAGCCTCTCTCTACACCCTGATCCTGTCCTGAAACCAGAACTCTTCCCGGTCCCATCAACATTATTAGCCAAGTTCCCATCAGCGGCGACCTGCACTGCAGGCGGACTCAGGGTGAGGAGGAGGGAATGAGGGTAACCTCAGCCTCTGAGACACAAACACGAAGGCATCCAAGGTGTCTTCTTCCAGGGGGCGTGTGAGGAGCTGCCCTGACCAAACAGCCTTGTTCTCGTCGGCTCAGCTCGTGCCGAAGCGAAGGGTTTGGCTGGCGCGGCCGGAGGACGAGCCTCAGCGCCCCCCTCCTCCCCACGGCGCCCCCGCCTCGGACCCGGGTCTCTTTCCCTCACTCTGCAAGGCGGCAGCACTTCCCTGAGAACTAGTCCCTCCTGTCTGATCCGGAGAGACGGCTCCTGGGATACGCAAGTTATCTAAACCTCAACAGGGAACGTTTTAAAAGCAAAGCAATGGCCAAAACCGGTGTGGCTCAGTAGATAGAGCATGCGGACTGAAGGGTCCTGGGTTCGATTCCGGTTAAGGGCATGTACCTTGGTTGCGGGCACATCCCCAGTAGGGGGTGTGCAGGAGGCAGCTGGTTGATACTTCTCTTTCATCGATATTTCTAGCTCTCTATCCCTCTCCCTTCCTCTCTGTAAAAAATCAATAAAATATATTTTAAAAAAGCAAAGCAATGAATGAAAGACCCAATGAAAAACGAGTGTCTAATGGAAATCCACTGCCCTCCTCTGCCACTCGCTGGCGAGAGGGAGGCCGTTCACACCTCCGGCTGGACCACGGCTCCGTCACCCGAGCCCACAGCCACCGGGACACACTCCACCCTGTGGCCCGAGCCCACGGTCCCCGGGACACGCCCGCCGTGGCTCTCACATGTGTGGCGAGCTCACTCACCACAGGAAGCTGCTGTTGGGGGACGGGTGCAGCAGGTCGGGCCAGTACATCTTCATGTCCGGCATGAGGTCCTGGCGGGAAAACAGAGCTCGGTCCCGGCACGGAGGGGGCGCTCTGCCCCCCTAGTCCCCGGGCCCACAGGGGTGCTGCTAATTTCTGGGCTCGTCCGGCCTCGGGGTGTGGGCGGAGGAGGCGTGGATTTGTGGGAGCGCCATAGGTGCCCACGGCACTGAGGTGCCGGCGGCGACCTGGCGGATGCATCGGGGCAGCCCGGCCGGGACAGAACCACGCGACTACCTTAATCTCGTCCAGCTTAAAGGGCCACGACCGGTTACACATGTCCGCTTTGTCAGCCCTTGAAATGCAAGAACAAGACCGGAGAGGTCAGTCCTGGTGGAACGGGCTCTGGAGGACACGAGGAAGCCCTTCGGCTCAGCGCGCAGGGGACACGGGGACGGAGGGGGGCCTGGGAGCCGCAGGCCGTCCCGTCCGCACCGGCTCCGGCTCGGGGCAGCCTCACAGCCCGCTTCCAGGAAAGGGCCGGTGGGGAGGTTAACAAGAGGCCGGCCTCGTGCACACAGCAGGGAGCCTAAGGCACTCGCAGGGGGCGCCAGCCAGGTCCCCGGGAGGGGTTTCCGGTGGGTCCCAGGGACCTGCCCCCTGCTAGCCCGCTCCACAGCCCAGGAGGCCAGCAGCGGGAGGCCTGCCCCTTTAAGAGGAGGTGAGGCTGTGGAGGTGAGACTGTGCCGAAGGCTCAGAGCCTGGCACACGGGCAGACCGCTGGGGTGACCGTTCACAGCGCCGAGCCCACGCCCTCCTCCCCGGCGGTGACCCTGTCCCCGCGCGCCAACTCTGCGTCCACCGGCAGCTCAGGCCGTGGGGTCCCCCACCTGCTCCCCAGACCGGCCGTGTGTCCAGCCGCCACAGCTGTCGCGGCCCCGGGCCTCCGCCTCCACCTCCACCGCGGGACGGAGCGTCACCCTGCAGTGACCTCCCCGCTCACGGGCGAGGACCCCGGAGAGCCAGGGTCCCCAACAAGCCCAGGGGAAGGGAGACTGTGGGCCAGGTCCCCAAGCCCCCTCTAAGCTGCTTTCTGCTGACCCCGCCCTGAGGGACAGGTGCACAGTGACACCGGGAGGGCCTCCTCTCAGCGGGCAGGGACAATGTGTGTGACTCACAGCACACTCCGTGCACACACAGCACAAGGATGAGCTGCACAGAATGCAGGCAAAGCCAGGCAGCCGATCTGGCGGCTGTGAAGTGTCGCTAACACAGATTATGCGTGTGATTTATATTTATATGTGTACTTACTGCCCCCAAATGAGAAAATTAAAAATTCAGTAACCCTAACACATACTCAGAAGTCTTAAATGCATATTTAGCCTAGACCCGTGGTCGGCAAATCGAGGCTCGAGAGCCACATGCAGCTTTTTGGCCCCTGGAGTGTGGCTCTCCCACAAAGTGCCACGGCCTGGGCGAGTCTATTCTGAAGAAGTGGCGTTAGAAGAAGTTTAAGTTTAAGAAATGTGGCTCTCCAAAGAAATCTCCATCGTTGTGCTGTTGGGCTCTGTGGACCGATGAGTTTGCCAACCATGGGCCCAGCCTATTACTGCTCTCTGAGAACAGCACTGGGCAGCAGAACAGGGTCATGTTAGCACGGGAACAACGCTTCCCGGTGAGGGCTGATCTACAGAATGAACCCAGGGTCTCCCGGAATGAACCCAACAGCATCCCGAGGGCAGCGCACGGGACCAGATGCCCGCGTGGTTCCCGCCGCGAGTACTCGCCACAGCCCGTGGATGGTCCAGTAGTCCGGCGGCTCTCTGCAGCCATGTTCAGTGCTCTGGAGGAAGACAGAGGGCGGTCGGCGCGTTGCCTTCACTCAAATAGACTGAGCACCTTTCTCTCTTTCGCCACGAGCCAGGGACGGGGCTGGCACAACACAAGCCCCAAGCAGGGCTCCTCCGAAGTGCCACGTAAGGGCCCAGGGCAAGAGGCACAGACAGAAAGACCAACCGAGGAGACAGGCCTGCTGTGTTCCGGGAGACACTTGTGTTACAGATATTTGCATGAGGTCAGAGAGGAAGGGAGAGGAAGAAAGAGACGTCGATGAGGAGAGAGAATCACTGATCAGGTGCCTCCTGCACGTCCCTTGGGGAATCAGCCTCCAGAACCCAGAGCACCAATGTCAGCTTCCTGAGCCCCCAGCGGTGGCGCTGTCACAGCCCCAGAGAGGAGACAAGCGAGACTTAGGGGAAGCCCTGGTCAGAGGGCCACGGAGGCAGACACTCACCTTGCACACGGTCGCAGGCCAGTGGTGGACCATAATCAGCTTCTTCCAGTCATGGCTGCCACTGCTGAGACAAGGAACCATGCTCCTAGAGCTTTCCAGTTACTGAAAAATTAGCCCATCCATCCATCTGTCCATCAATTTATCCATTCATCATCTGTCTATCCATCCATCCACCTACCCACCCACCTATCCACCCATCTGTCCATCCATCCATCCACCCATCTGTCAATCCATCTATTCATCCACCCATTTGACCATCCATCCATTCATCTGCCTGTCCATTCATCCATCTGTCCATCTATCTGTCCATCCATCTGTCCATCCATCCCATCATCCCACCATCCCACCACCCCACCATCCATCCGAGCCCTCATTCATTAAAGAACAGTGAATACCTGCCTCAGGCCAGGCATTTCTGTGGGAAGGAGTTACTGCCCTGAGTGAGGGAGGAGTCCCAGGCACTAAGGTGGGACAGGGGTACTGCCTGAGTGAGGGAGGAGTCCCACCCTCCTGAGGGAGACCAGGGCCAAGAGAGAAAAGCACCAGCGCAGGTCATGCAGTGCAGGGCAGGGGAACGTGGAACCAAGGGCATGATGGGTGGGGAGAGGGGGGGCAGGACGGGGAGGGGGCGGGGCAGGGCGGGGAGGGGCAGGGCAGAGAGGGGCAGGGTGAGGCAGGGAGGGAGGGCAGGGTGAGGCAGGGAGGGTTGAACTGGGGACAGGAAGCCAGGAAGGCCTGGAGCCAGGGAACGGCCACCACGTGCCTCAGTCCGAAGGGCGCTCACGGGCTGGAGACCCATGGCCGCCTCCCACGGGGAATCCCCAGCACAAACGGCGCTGAAGCCGCTGGTGACTGACTCCCTCCCCGTCGGGGAGCGGCCTCCCTGCCCCCTGCAGAGGGGGTGACTGAGACCAAAGGGGGCCTCTTCAGACCCTTTTCAGGGGGAAGGGGGTTTGCGGTGGCGCTGGGGGGCTGGGGGGCTGGCAGCAGGAAGCTCAGCCTCTTTGTCAGGCTCCGCGGGCGGACGGACAGACAGACAGCCCGACAGACAGACAGCCCAGGAGAAAGCACTCAGGCTACGGGTGGAGACGGGGTTCACGGGAAACAGAGCGGGTCCCCACAGTCGTGCTCGTGGGTGAGGAGTTCCGCTGAGTAACGGACGCGGACGGTAGGAAGCCTGGATTTAAGTCTGAGATGCTGACACAGGAGCTCAGCAGGACAGAAAAACCGGTGTCCACCCGAGTGGCAGCCGGCCGGAAGGGGCCGGAGCCCTCTCCCCGACACGGCCCTGTCTCACCGTGGACACAGGCTGCGGGGCCGTGGCTCGGCAGCCAGACCATCGGTCAGCGTTCCCAGGGAAACAGGAAGCTCAGAGCGGGGACCACCCCACTGCAGTCCAGGCGGGGACATGTGGGGGCCCCGGCCCCTGGGAGGCCAGCCACCCGCCCCCGGCCAGGGGGACGGGGAACAGCCCGGACCTGTGCGCCCTGCAGGTCTGCGTGGCCTGTGTCTGCCCCCAGCCGCGGGCAGGGCAGGTCCGGAGAGGCAGGTGTGTGACTGGGGGGGCGAGGATAGGGGGGCACCTACTCCTGCTCGTCTTTAGCTGCATTGGCATTGGCTTTGGCATGGCTGATGCCCTTGGCCAGGCAGGGCTCACAGAGTCCGCCCAGCTGCTGCCTCCCCTCGCCCCCACCCACCGCCGGGGCAGGCGTGTCTGCCTTGCAGGTGAGCGGAGGGCAGCACACAGCCCCACGCCCGGCCTCTCCGCCACCCCCTTAGCCTGGGGCAAACACTAAGGCCCGAGCCCTTCCCAGCACGCTCTCTGGGAAAACAGCTGTGATGTCACCCTTACCGCGTCTCATAACGCAGCAACGTGTAATTAGAACTCTGGCTAACGAGTTAACCCACCTCTGCACGCCTGCAGCCCGGGAACCGCGTCCTCCCATTAGTGCGATCTCACCCAGATAGGAACGTCCCTCCATTAGTGCGATCTCACCCAGATAGGACAGGGTGCCATCCCATCTGCTGCTACTGCTGGTCTCCTGCAGCCAGCCAGCCCCCACCCTGACTCTCCTGGGACGGAGCGTAAGGTGACCAGATGTCCCGCTTTTGGCGGGACAGTCCCAATTTTTAAAAAAAATATATACTTTTTTTATTGATTTTTTACAGAGAGGAAGGAAGAGGGAAGGGGGTTAGAAACATCGATGAGAGAGAAACATTGACCAGCTGCCTCCTGTACACCCCCTATTGGAGATGTGCCTGCAACTTAGGTACAGGCCCTTGACTGGAATGGAACCTGGGACCTCTCAGTCTGCAGGCAGATGCTCTATCCACTGAGCCAAACTGGTTTTGGCTTTTTATTTTTTTTTTTTTAATATATTCTATTGATTTTTTTACAGAGAGGAAGGGAGAAGGATAGAGAATTAGAAACATCGATGAGAGAGAAATATCAGTCAGCTGCCTCCTGCACACTTGGGATGTGCCTACAACCAAGTTACATGCTCTTCACGGGAATCGAACCTGGGACCCTTCAGTCCGCAGGCCAATGCTCTATGCACTGAGCCAAACTGGTTAGCGCACAGTCCCGATTTTTAATAATTTGTCCCACCGCGTTTTAAAACTTTTTTAAAGCGCCGCGGGACGCGGGACAAATTGTTAGAAAGCGGGTCTGTCCCGCCAAAAGCGGGACGTCTGGTCACCTTAGGCATGAGGGAGGGAGGGACCCGGCACCCAGGGCGCTGGCGTCCACACCAAAGCTGCGCCGACCGCCTGGGGAGGGGAGTCTGAGCAGGGACTCCCGGCACGGCCCCTCCGAGGCTGGGCCCCACAGCGCCCGGGAGAGCACCCACCTCCTCCGGGGAAGCACCCACCTCCTCCGGGGGAGCACCCACCTCCTCCGGAGAGCACCCACCTCCTCCGGGGAGCACCCACCTCCTCCGGGGGAGCACCCACCTCCTCCGGAGAGCACCCACCTCCTCCGGAGAGCACCCACCTCCTCCGGGGAGCACCCACCTCCTCCGGGGGAGCACCCACCTCCCCCGGAGAGCACCCACCTCCTCCGGAGAGCACCCACCTCCCCCGGAGAGCACCCACCTCCTCCGGGGGAGCACCCACCTCCTCTGGAGCCCGCGCGCGCAGCCCAGCCAGAGGGCCAGGCCGAGGGCGCAGAGCAGGGCGCGCCCGGGAGCCGCCGGCTTCATCGTGGAGCCCGGGGTGGGGGCCCCCGGCGGGCAGAAGCTCGGCTTCCAAAGCGCGCGGAGCGGACGGTGCAGCGGCTCTGCGTCCCTGAAACCGGACACGTTTCCTTAGGCGTCAGCGCCGCCCGCGAGGGGCTCCCGCCGCCCGGGTCCCCGCCCGCCGTCCGCCGTCCGCCCGATCGCGCTGCGCCGCTACCCACGGTCCCGGCCGCTGCCAACAGGCCCGATCGTTTCCGCCCGGGCAGACGGCGCCGGATCCGCCCACAGGGCACGCCCCTGCCGCCTGCGGGGCACACCGCCCCCGGCGCCCAACGCCGCACGACCCCGACACGCCCCGGCCCCGAGGACACGCCCCCGGCCCCGAGGACTGGTCCCCGGCCTGGAGGACACGCCCCCAGCTGCGAGGACACGCCCCCAGCCGGGGTGGAGGGCCCTCTCAGCTGGTCTCCTGGGAGAGGCTGTCCTTCCAGCCTGGCCGCCCCCCTAGCAGGAAGGTTGTGGCACTTTCTTTTCTTTTCTTTTTTCTTTTCTTTTTTTTAAAATATATTTTATTGATTTTGTACAGAGAGGGAGGGAGAGAGATAGAGAATTAGAAACATCGATGAGAGAGAGTCATCGATCAGCTGCCTCTTGCACACCCCCTACTGGGGATATGCCCGCAACCAAGGTACATGCCCTTGACCGGAATCGAACCCGGGACCCTTCAGTCCCCAAGCCGACGCTCTATCCATTGAGCCAAACTGGTTTCGGCTCTTTTCCTTTCTTTTTAAAAAAATATATTTTATTGATTTTTTACAGAGAAGAAGGGAGAGGGAAAGAGAGTAGAAACATCGATGCGAGAGAAACATCCATCAGCTGTCTCCTGCACAACCGCCACTGAGGATGGCCCGCAACCAAGGTACATGTCCTTGACCAGAATCGAACCCGGGACCTTTCAGTCCACAGGCCGATGCTCTATCCACTGAGCCACACCGGTTACAGCGTGTGGCACTTTCTTTTTCCCCAAAATGACATCGCTGGGGGATGGGAGAGAGTGTGGCCCACTGAACTCTGCCTGTCTTGAGGTTCAAGGCCCTGTGCTGTGCGCTGGCTCCCAGCGCCCCACCAGAGCTAATGCCACCCCGCTCCTCCGCCTCACCCCACCCCTGAGCACTTGGGGTGATGTCTGCTTCCACGTGAATCCTTGTGGTCCCGCCCCGCATCGTGGAGTAGAAAATATTCTCCTCCTACAAGGGGGGGCACTGGAGTCACAGGGCAAACGTGGGGGTCAGGTGGGGGATGATGGCAAATACCGGGGAAGAGTGATGGCCTAGCATGAGTGAGGAGGCAGCAGTGAGACCTGGGAGCAGGGGTGCTGCGGGAGGGTGCAGAGTCACAGGAACCGGGGAAGCACAGCCGCCCTGCCTGCCACGCGGCGTGTGGGCGAGCAGCATCTGCCGGGAATTCGTCAGAGGCAAACTAAGCAGCAGCCAGCCAGCGACCCCGGGTAAGAGTGGGAACGGTCCTTCCTGGAGACCTGCCTTCCTGCTCCAGGAGACAGGCTCAGGCCCTCTGGGTCATGACCCGTGAGAGCCCAGGCAGGGTGCTTGCTAACTGGGTTTGAGGCCATATCACTGGGGTCTCCAAATGCCCAGCCCTGTCCTGCCAGGGACCCAGGGCCCGTGGGGGGCTCTGGACCAGGGTGTCCCCATGGAGAGCCCAGGGTGTTGGGTGGGAAGGGAGGGGCTGGCATTCCGGGTGGGTCCTCTGGGTGTGGATTCAGATTCTCCTGCTCCTTCCTGGGTGAGCTGGGCGCAAACTGACTCTCTCGGCCAGGGTTCCTCGTCCGTAGAGCAGGGACGATGCACTCTAGTGGTTTATAGTTGGGACTAGAGATGAGACTAAACCAAGCCCAGCGGCTCTCCCGAGGTGGGAAATAGAGGAATTTCTTTCCTTCACTCTCTGGTGACGAATTTTAAGCCTCAAGGCCAAGGAATCATCTCCAAATCTTTACCCAAACGTCTGACTTAAGCCACTTCTGACCCCGTCATAAGAGGCTTCAAAATAGAAAGAGAAAAAAATGAGCTCACGCTCACATACGCACACACATGCACACACACCTCCACACATGACTGTGCACTCCTACGGGACATTAGAAAACACTTTTCAAAATGTACCTCTAAAAAGCACGTCGAGCCGAGACCGGTTTGGCTCAATGGATAGAGCGTTGGCTTGGGGACTGAAGAGTCCCGGGTTCGATTCCGGTCAAGGGCATGTACCTTGGTTGTGGGCATATTCCCAGTAGGGGGTGTGCAAGAGGCAGCTGATCGATGACTCTCTCTCATTGATGTTTCTAACTCTCTATCTCTCTCCCTTCCTCTCTGTACAAAATCAATAAAATATATTTTAAAAAAAATTAAAAATAAAAAAAATTAAAAGCACATCGACCCCTGAGGACTTGTACCCGCCAAGCTGTCTCTCTGTGGAGAGGACCGTGTTACACAGACAGTGACTCGTGTTGGCAGGTAACTGGGGAGTTTACAAGTACTCGGTGCTTTTAAAGGATTTTGAGTTTCTTTCTTTCTTTCTTTCTTTCTTTCTTTCTTTCTTTCTTTCTTTCTTTCTTTCTTTCTTTCTTTCTTTCAGATAGGAAGAGAGAGGGACAGAGAGTCAGAAACCTACTAGATGAAAGTCATCGATCAGCTGCCTCTTGCACACCCTCTACTGGGGATGGGCCCGCAACCAAGGTACATGCCCTTGATTATGTTTCTACTTACTCCGCACCCTACTGCAAAAAGCACCTAGTGCCTTCATGTGTATAAACAGGCTGGTGAGTAAGTGTTTACCAGCTGCCAATAAAACCCCAGGCCCCTTGTTCCCTCGTGAATGACCCACGTCCCGCATGGTTCAGGGTTCGGGGTTTGGGATCTGGAAGAGGGGCCGCTAATGAAAGAGACCAGACAAGAGATAATAATTTGGAAATTGGGGGGGGGGGGCAAGCGGGAGCCCAGGAGGACTTCCCCGGTGCCCAGGCCTCGCCACCTCTTATTCCATTTTGGATGCACGCCTAGCCCTTAGCCAGCCAGGCAACTGTGGCCCCAGCAGACTCTCCTGAAGGCCAGTAACTACCAGGAAGATTCACTCTGAGAGTGTTTGGTCAGGAAATAGCTTGTGCCCCGTTGTCCGGACTAAACAGTCCATGGGTGCATAGCTCTGGCCCTCGCTGGGCAGACAGCCCCCCATTACTGGGCAGCTCCTGCAAACGGGATCTCGTGCTCTAACCCCGTCATAACCCCTTTCACAGAAACGCTTACAAGTCGATTTACAAACCCCACTCCTTCAAGCAGCCGCTTCCTCTTTCCCCAGGAAACAGAACGTGCGCCTGCGGGTGCAGCTGGCTCCCTCCGTCTGCCCCTCGGCCCCGGTTCCTCTTCCCCGGGCGCCTGGCCCTCCTCGCTGCCTGCTCCCCGGGCCCAGGCGCCTTGGGAAATGCCGGATGGCCTTCCCGTCCTGGGCCTCTGGCAGCTTTCTGAGTGGGAGGACAACCGGAGCCTCAGTACACCGTCCTGGCGCTTCCTCCCCGCCCTGCCGCCTGGCCTGTCCCGGAGATGGGCCTCCTCCCGCACTGGGGGGTAGGTGTGGGGGTGGGAGGCATGGGGGGTGAGGGGGTGGGGGAGTTAGGAGGAGGGCGGCTGTCCTGGATGCAGCAGAGGCTGCAGTGCCTGCTGAGGTCGCCTAGCCCATGGCTTCTTGTCTCACCTCGGACTGCCCTTGGCGAGGATGCAGCCAACAGTGTTGAACCCGCCAGGCCATGCTCTCGGGCAAGCCCTGGGGAGCTGGGGGCTGGCAGCTGGTCACAGGTCCCCGCCCGCCCTGGGCTCCCTGCTCTGAGCCCCGACACTGCACACCAGAACCAGGCTGCCCTGTGTGCCCCTCAGAATGGGTGACCCACCACACCGGAGGTGGCCACTGGCTGCCCCAAGGGAGGTGCGGGTGGTTGGCCACGGCCTCGGGGGCTGGGACAGTGGTCCCCATGGAGGCAGCTCGCCAGGGGCTGGGACAGAAGCCAGAATCCTTGGCGAGCAGCTGTTCTGTAACTTGAGCTATGTGCGTGTTGTATGTAACTACGAGACACAGCTGAACTCCAAAAATGCCACCCCCCGACACAGGGACTGCAGGAAAGGGAGAGAGATGTCAGGTGCAGCTGAGGCCAGAACAACGCCCTCAGCTCCCACCTGTTCACAATCAGGTGCGTTGTCCTGGGAGGCTGAGTGAGTGAGTGACAGCGGACGAGGAAGGAGGCGAAGCAGCCGGGAGGCCTCAGGCATCCCAGGAAGACTCAGAAGCAAACATTACGGACACCAGGGAGCGTTAAAGTTAAGTAAGGGTCTGTGGTGCTGAATTTGCATGACAAATCTCTGTAGCAACTCATAAGTTTCCTACAAAAAGGAAGAACAACACAGATAAACAGGAAGCCTTGCTGCCTCTGGCTCTGACAGCCCTGGCCCAGGGATCAGCGGGGCCACAGCACAGGCCTGAGGCCTCCGGGTGCAGCCTCACCCCTGCACCAGGGCTCCCGGGTCACCGTGCAGGCCGAGCCGGAGCCCAGGGCCAGCAGAGCCACATGCCAGCCTGCCGGACTCAGAGCAGACCCTCGGGCTCCCATGGGCAAGAGAAAATGTTGTTGTTTTTTAAAATATATTTTTATTGATTTTTACAGAGAGGAGGGGAGAGGGATAGAGAGGTAGAAACCGATGAGAGAGAAACATCGATCAGCTGTCTTCTGCACCCCCCTGACTAGGGATGTGCCCGCAACCAAGGTACGTGCCCTTGGCCGGAATCGAACCTGGGACCCTTCAGTCCACAGACGGATGCTCTACCACTGAGCCACACCGGTCAGGGCAAGAGGAAATGGTGTTTGAGCATCAGGAACAACAGTAACTACAGTGGTTGAAACACATCAAATGTGTTAGGTCCACAGAGGCGTTAGGGTACCCCAGGAGCGGTCTTGGTCACTTCGGGAACCAGCTCATTATTCCGGGAAGTCAAGGCCGAGAGTCACTGTTTCTCGAACCCCTGTGCCAGAACCGCAGCTTCACCCAATGGCTGACGGGAAGGAAGGTCTCCTTAGAGGTTTCCCGGGAAGAGGAGGAGGAATGGTGGTATTTAACATCACCCTTCCACAGCCCCCAGAGGGACGAACCTGAGCCTCCACCACCGGCAGAAGCTGGGGCGCTGGAGGGGAAGCCGGGAGGGAGAGCGATCCTGGTCGGTCAGCCTGGCGCCCCAGGCTGTGACCCACCTTAGTGCCTGAGGCCTCCCGGCTGCTTGGGGTCCGTCGCTGCAGGAAACAGCGCCATGGCACACCCTGGCTGGGCCCGTGTGTCCGTGTGCTGTGCTTTGGACTGTTTGATGCTCTGATTGGAGCGTTTCTTTATCCACCTTGCTTTATAATTTAAAAAAGGATTCTTTTTTGTATCGTAACACGTTCGCCTCCAATTCCACATCCATCAACACACGCATTGCTCCTCCTGCCTCATCGCTACAGGAGCCTGGTCCTCCGGGAAGTCTGAGCTGAGAGACCACCATCCTGTGCCTGTGGCTACCGGGCCTTTCAGAGCCGGGACGCGTGCTTCATCGGTTTTATTTTAAGGGATATGCATCCTGAGTTCACACTGACATTTATGAATAAATGCAGGATGAAAGGGCTTTCTCATTGGTCTTATTTGCATACATCTTTGCATCTCCCTTTCATCTCTCTTCAAGCATTTAACTGGCGGCAGATGAAAGAGAGGACGCTACTTAGTCTAAACGCCACGCGTTCCCTCTTCAAAACACGGCCGTCATCCCAGTAATCCCCTGCCCCTGCCTGGGCGCTCACGGAGCCGCAGGAGCGGCTGCCTGGACCTGACCCGGCGCGGCTCCGCGTGTCCAGACCAGCACCGAGGCCGGTCGCCGGGAACGCCTCCCGCCCGGGAAGCCTGTGCTGTGGGTGGTCACTGCCTGGCGAGCTGTGGCCCTGGGCTCCGGGGGTTAACACAGCGTCCCCCGGGCAGGGAACCGAGCGGAAGGTGGGTCATGGGGAGAGAAGAGGCTGCATCCTGCTGGACCAGCAGCAGGACGAGAGCCGAGGGGGGCCGGACGGAGAGGCCGGGGCAGGCAGCTGAGAGCGGCAGGTCCTGCGTGTTCCTGGCCAGTCCCTGTCCCTGCGGAGCGTGAGGTCACTGCCGTTCTCCCCCTGCACCGCAGACCCCGCCCCTTCCAACCGGCAGGGTCTTCGATCAACACTGTCCATGCACTTCCTTTTCCTGTGACTTTAACATTCCCTCTTCTGTGGCTTTATGGTAAGAACACAGCGTGTGATATGTGTTACATACAGCAATGTGTGCTAATGGCTTAAGGCCATTTAAGACTAACAGTTGGCTATTAGTAGTTAAGTTTGGGGGAGTCAAAAGTTACACACAAATTGTTGGCTGTGCGGGGCTGGCACCCCTAAGCCCCATGTTGTTTAAGGGTTAACTGTAAGGCATTTACAGGTGTAAATCATTAGGCTGTGCGCCTGAAACTAATGAAATGTCATACGCCAATTATATCTCAATAAAAAAAAAGAATAAATCCTGTTCTACATTCATCAAAGCAGAACTCCTCTTCATCTTTCTCTTGAAACGGGACCCTCCGCCCGCTCCCGGCTCCCAGTCTGAGCTCTGCCTGCACGCGCTGGGTGGTGGTGGGGCTGTCCTGGGCCCGGCCGTCCACCAGCATTGCTGGCTTCTCCCGCGAGGTGCCAGGAGCAGCCCCTTCGCTGTGACAACCAGAGATCGCAGGTGTCCCCCGGGGAGCCCGTCGCCCATGGGAGCCACAGCACCCGCTCTTCTGGCCTCACGTGCCCGGCACCCCCACCCACCCCGTCCAGGAGCCAACCAGCCGCGGCTGCGTGTGGCTGTGCTCTCACACCTGGGTGGTTCTGAGAACCCGTGAACACATCTGTAAGTTAACAGCAAACACCCTTATCCTGAGTTCACATGATCACAAAGAGCATGTTTCCTGCTGTCTTATGCATTACAGACATGCCTGAAAGGCACCTCATTGAGGACCTTAAAGTGGAAAGAACTTACTAAATTTGTGGAGAATGTCACAGAAACCCATCAGCCAACTCAGGCTACTGTGAACCCAAACTACTAAAAAAAGAAAAGGAGCCGAAACCGGTGTGGCTCAGTGGATAGAGCGTCGGCTTGGGGCGAAAGGTCCCGGGTTCGATTCCGGTCAAGGGCATGTACCTTGGTTGCGGGCACATCCCCAGTAGGGGGTGTGCAAGAGGCAGCTGATCGATGACTCTCTCTCATCGATGTTTCTAGCTCTCTATCTCTCTCCCTTCCTCTCTGTACAAAATCAATAAAAAATATTTTTTTTTAAAAAAGGAAAAATTAGACAGCCGTAGGAAGGGCTCCTGGTGGCTAACTGGGCTGGGGGAAAAAAGAAAATAATAATAATAAGCAGAGCCTAGCAGCTAGTTCTGCACAGGGGCCTCTCACTCAAACTACAATTCCGGGAGAAGCTCTGCCTGCACTGTGTCTGCCACCCGGTCTGGGGCAGCGGGAGCAGGCCAATGGCTGAGCAGAGCCAGCAGAGCCGAGCACCCGGCTGGAGGGGTGCAGCCTCAGTGCGCACACTGCGGGGCCGGCCCGCAGCACTGCGGCGCTCACAGCCCAGCGGGTCCCTCTGAGCGGTTTGCACCTAAAAAAGTTTCCTTCTTCACCGCAACCCTAACTGGATTCCCTTTGGCACTGATTGGCACCTTCACCCAGGGCACCTGCCCTTGCCTTCCGCCCCGGCCCCGCCTCAGTGTCGGCTCGAGGCCCCGCCCCGCCCCTTGCGTCCGCCCCGCCCCTTGCATCCGCCCCGCCTCCCGCGTTCATCCGCGCCCCAGGCCCGCCCCTGCTTCCGCCCGAGGCCCCGCCCCCTCGCTCACCAGCGCGCCGAGGCCCCGCCCCGGCGTGAGGCGGCTGCGCGCGCCGGCGCCGGGGGCGTGGTCTGGGCCGCGCGCCCCGCGGCGTCTGCGGCGCCGTTGGCCCTTGGCGCGGCTTCGGCGGTTGTCTTGGAGAAGCAAGATGGCGGCGACGGCGGCCGCGGTGGCGGCGGAGGAGGACACGGAGCTGCGGGACCTGCTGGTGCAGACGCTGGAGGGCAGCGGGGTCCTGAACCGCATCAAGGTCGGCGGGGCCTGGCCGGGCCTGCGGAGGGCGCGCGGGCCGGGGCCTGTGCGGGCGGCGGGCGTCACAGAGGGGCCGCCGGGCGGGGTCCGGGGTCCGGTCTGTGGCGGGGAGGGGGCGGCTCGGGCTCCCCGGGTCCCGGGTCCCCACCTCCGAGCGGCGGGTGCCGTCCGGGCGGCGCGTTTCCCGGGACCCGCTCCTCAGGCGCCGCGGGACCGGCCGACGCGGCCGCGGGGCGCGGGGCGCGCTCGGGAGGGACGACCCCGGCCCCGCCGCCGCCAGGCTGCCCGGGCTCCCCGGCCCCGGGCCCGCGCCCTCCCCGCCGGTCTGACACCCCTTTTCTCTCCTCTCCAGGCGGAACTCCGGGCGGCCGTGTTTCTGGCGCTCGAGGAGCAGGAGAAAGTCGAGGTAGGACGTCCGCGCCCCCCCGCCCCCCGGGGCCGCGGCTGCGGCGGGTGCCTGCGCCGGGGGTGCCTGGTCTAGGAGGGGCGGCGGGAGCCTTGTTTGGGGCCCACGGGGGGGGGGGGTCAGGCGTCTGAGCTGCGGTCGCAGACCCCTCTGCGGGGCCTGAAACACGGCCAGGGCGGCAGCGGTGTGAGCCTTCCCGGAACGGTCAGCCGCACCGTTTTCTGTTTTTAAGTTTATTAGCTTTGTTTCCGAGAGGAAGGGGAGAGAGAGAGACGTCAGTGATGAGGGTCGTGGACTGGCGCCTCCCGCACCCCCCTTGCTGGGGATCCAGCGGGAAACCGGGCCTGTGCCCTGAGCGAGACCCAGCGGGGCCTCCTGGGTCCTGGGTCCACACTCCATCACGGCGGGTTCCTGGGTCCTGGGTCCACACTCCATCACGGCGGGTTCCTGGGTCCTGGGTCCACACTCCATCACGGCGGGTTTGCACCCACGCAGCTGGCTTCCTGCCCAGAGCCCCGCCGTGAAGCTCTGGGAGCGCATCCGGCTGCTTCTCTCTGCCCCGCCTGCCGCCGCCTCCGGAGAGGATGCCCTGGAGCCTGCAGTCCACAGAGTCGCTTCATAATCCGCCTTCACCCTCCTCGGAGCCACCGCCTCCGACGCCCCGGGGTTCGGCCGTTTGGGAATTTTGCTGTTGTTTTCTCTTGACCGCTCCTTGGGTCCCGGTGTGATCTTTTTCTGTCCCTTCATGGCAGCCTCGGTGCGGCGCCCCGAGCTGTCTGTCATCTGTTCTCCCTGAGCCCTGACCCACCCGCTGTGGCCGGTTCTCCGGTCCGGCCGCGTCGCCCTCCCGAGCTTGGGGCTGCGTCCCGCTGCCGCTCCGCCCTCCCGGGCCGCTGGCTTCAGTGCTGTGCGGAGGGGTCTGAGGACCCGTCCCTCCCGGCGGCTCTGCCCTCCCGGCGCGCCTCCGCGGTCCGCAGTCTTCCCGAAGCCTTCCTCCGCGTGTTTAATACTCCATCTGCCGTCCATTTCTTTACGTATTTCAGTTGACTCCACATCTTAGTTTCCTACACAAGCCTGCTTGAGTACCTTTGTGATCTTTACCCGCCTTGCGTTTTTTGCGTATTTTTAAAACTATTGAGGTATAGCCCTAGCTGGTTTGGCTCAGTGGATAGGTCGTCGGCCTGTGGACTCTATCCTCAGTAGAGGGCGTGCAGGAGGGAGCCGATCGATGATTCTCTTATCTAAAAATTTTTTTTCTTTATTGATTAAGGTATTACATATGTGTCCTTATCCCCCCATTGCCTCCCCACCCCCCACTCATGCCCTCACCCCACTGGTGTCTGTCCACTGGTTAGGCTTGTAGGCATGCAGACAAGTCCTTTGGTTGATCTTTCCCCCTTACTCCCACCCTCCCTACCTTCCCTCTGAGGTTTGATGGTCTGATCGATGCTTCTCTGTCTCTGGATCTGTTTTTGTTCATTATATCTCACAAATGAGTGAGATCATGTGAAATTTATCTTTCTCTGACTGGTTTATTTTGCTTAGCATAATGCTCTCCAGTTCCATCTCTCTTTTTCATTTTTCTATCTCTTCCTTTCTCTGTGAAGAAAAAAAAAAAGATGACCATATCCATGACCTTGAAAAGTTTCCTCAGGCACCTGGACAGGTGGCTCAGTCAGTTGGAGTGTAGACCCCACACCAAAAAGTTGCCGGTTCAGTTCCCAGTCAGGGTGTGTACCTGATGCAACTTACTGATGTTCCTCTCTCACGTTGATATTTCTCTCTCTCCCTCTCCAAAGTCAACAAAAACATCCTCCTTGGGTGAGGGTTAAAGAAAAAGGCTTTCTCAAGCCCCTTCATGCCCTTTGGCCCCCCCGCCCCCGCCCCCCCACCTCCAACCCGGGCAGCCGAGGCCCAGGGCTTCTGACAGCGAGGCCATTGGAACCGCACAGCACGCACTCCCGTTCCTTTACGTTTGGTCTGGCCGTGTTCTCGCCGCATAGTGAGTGTACAGACTCATTCATGTGGCCGTCGGTTTCCCGCATGGTGCTGGCTGTGTGAATGTCTGCAGTTTGTTCATTCACCTGTGGGTGGACGGGTTGTTTCCAGCTTTAACTCATACACAAGGCTGCTGGGACATGCGTGTGCGTGCGTGTTGCTGGGACCTGCCCTCCTCTCTTGAGGAAATACCTCGGCGGGTGATCACACGGAGGGCCTCGGCACCTTTGTACAATGTGCCCAGACGGGCTTCCCCAGAGTGGGCCCCGTGCCTCCTCGGCGCGGTGCTGTGCCTCTGCGGTCTGCGTGAGCAAGCTTTGATGTGCGGGAGTATGGTTTTTTTTTAATTTACTCAAATGTTTAATGATGATCAGTTGGCCTACGCGCTCCATAAAGTCATGTGACCTGCTATAGGTGGACTGCAGATGGCAAGTGTGTAATTAAAGTCCTGTTCATAGTGTCATATGGTTGATAGCTAAGATGACAGTATCAAATTCATAAAGCTGAAATAATAATCAGAGTTTTATAAGTGTTATTTCACATGAGTATTTGGAAGTCTGGCTTCTAAAATACTTTAGTCAGCAATTAATAAAACATTTAAAAATGAGTATAAGTCTTCATATATGGCTTTGTTTTATTAATTTTGAGATATTATTCAATAGCACAAAGCAGTTCCTTTTGTGATCAATAGTTGTGGAATGGGGTTAACCATAATTGTTTGGGTGACAATATTTTACTTACATCTTTGCCAGGAAGTTATACTTTAATCCACATTTTGTAGTTCTCATAATAAACACATGACACTGACAATATTTTTTTTTTTAACAGAATAAAACTCCTTTAGTCAATGAGAGTCTGAAGAAGTTTTTAAATACGAAAGATGGTAAGATGTTCAGCTCTTCTTTATTTTGTCTCTCTGTACATTTCCAAATCCTGACTACTTGGGAGAAATCAGGCATTTCAGATTATTTTTTGGTGTTTGTGATTCTTATAGGTCCTTAGAACTCAAAATGAGATTTTATTGGGTGCTGTGAAGTTGCTTTGCTCACCATGGGTCCGGTGTCTCTGTAAGAGGCAGAACCGTTGGTGAAGTGTCACAGTATCTTCGCGATGGTTGCTGCCAGACCTAGGATCCCAGTGAGAACAAGGGAGACCGACCGGTTTCCATCACTTACTTGTATACAGCAAAGAGGAATCCATGGTTAAACAATGTGGCCACTCCCCCCATGGGTGCAGCCCCTCCTCCTCAGTGTCAGGAGGCTCCGGCGTGAAGGCTCGCTCACCGCCTCTCTCGCCCCGCAGGCCGGCTGGTGGCTAGTCTGGTGGCAGAGTTTCTCCAGTTCTTCCATCTTGACTTCACCTTGGCTGTTTTCCAACCGGAAGCTAGCACGGTAAGAATGATTGTCACCTCACCTTTGAAGCCTTTGACACCAGTGAGCTCATGAACAGCTGAAAATTAGCACTTGACAGCTGTAGTGTCTTGCATAATGATGTTTCTATAGCTCCCAGATTTTCTTAAACATCATCCGAGCTGGCAGCGGGTTCTAGCCCCTGCTTTACTTAACTGGAAGGGAGTGTTGTTGTGAAGCTGGCTTGTTCTGTTAGGCTGTAGCTGTTAGTGTGAACTTGGAGTGTGGAGACTGGTGAAAGGAATAACAGATGTAAGCAACCTGACTCATTTTCTATACGCAGAATCCCAAATAGAAACTTGCTCATGTTGTGGCATTGTATTTTGTGTGTTTATGTCATACACGTGAGCAGCTGCTTCCTGTGGAAAAGGTGTCATTAAACGGTGTGGGTGTTTGAGGGCTCCATCCTGTTCAATGAGTGCGTATTTGGGAGTGAGCTCGGGGTGGGGGGGTGGGGCTCTGTGGCCACCTTCAGTCCCCCTCCCCCCACAAATATATATGTAATTTTTAAAATGGATGTTTCATTCATTAGAAAAACAGTCTCTTTTTAGAAAGATGTCTTTAGGTTCTGAAAATATTTTTCTTTAAACTCTAAGTAATTGTGTTATGTATCTATGCACTTATATATAGCTTACTTTTGCATCTGATTTCTGCCCTAGTTTCAAGGTCTGGAAGGCCGAGAGAATTTAGCCCGGGACTTGGGCATTATTGAAGCGGAAGGCACTGTGGGTGGACCCTTGCTATTGGAAGTGATCCGGCGTTGTCAGCAGAAGGAGCGAGGGCCCGGCCGTGGGGAAGTAAGTGCTGTCTGTGCTTTGTTACCGCCTGGTTATACTGCTGCCCCGCGCAGCCCCGCCTTCTGTGCAGTGGGTCAGGTGTAAGTAATAGACTCTTCCTTGGAAACAAAGTGAAACACACTCAGATCGGTAAAGTGCACGTTATAGTGAAAACTGGAAGTGTGGGTGTTCTGAGCTGCTGCCGCCCCCGTTCTGTGGATAGATCCTGCTGCCCGCTGGCTGACTAGTGCTCTTCATCCTTTCTGACTAGTGCTCACCATCCTTTCTGACTAGTGCTCACCATCCTTTCTGACTAGTGCTCACCATCCTTTCTGACTAGTGCTCACCATCCTTTCTGACTAGTGCTCACCATCCTTTCTGACTAGTGCTCTTCATCCTTTCTGACTAGTGCTCACCATCCTTTCTGGCTAGTGCTCACCATCCTTTCTGACCAGTGCTCACCATTGTTTCTGACTCGGACTCACCCCTCGTTCCTCTCGGGAAGGGTCTGAGAGCTAGGAGTGGGCACCTGGAACTCCGGCACAGGCCACTGCTTAAGAGATGGCGAAAACACGCCAAGCATTAGCCTTCTCAGTACTCACACATATAAAGGTCGAGTTACAGAGTAGTTGATTTTTGAATTGGAAGGCTTTTTTAAACTAGATCTAAAACTGAGCTATTGATTTTTCTTATTTCTAGACATTTTCTAATTCCTGTGTGATTAGCCATTACCTTTCTTATTCCTATCCTTCCCTTTAAGAAATACTGCTAATGAGATGAACGGTCTGAGTTCTGTTTCTGGAAGGGTCCTGGCACAGGCGTAGACAGCGTCTGAACGGTCCCAGGGAGCTGGTTAAGTGTGTGCTTCTGGCCGCAGGGATGTGTGAGGAGGCTGTGGCCGCCTTGCTTCCCTCCATCTGGACAGCCTCAGAGCTGTTAGAGCCTCGGATCCATTCGGGCCGACAGAGGGCCCATTGCACAGTAAATAGGTTCTTTTCATTAAAGGAAAAACGTAAGAATATGTGTAGTAGAAGGGTAGAGAGCTGTTCAAGAAAGATGCTTTCGTAAGAAAACGCACATTTAATGGTTTGTGATTATAGAGGAAGCATACAGTAATTGATTAGTTCTAAACATTCTGAGTAATAATTTTTAGTCAAAGGGGGCAGAGTGTTTCATGTTGAAAATTTGTTCAACTCAACCTTAACGTGAAAGCCGGGCAGGGGACGGGCAGGTGCGGAGGGAGGAGGGCCCAGGGGCCTGGCCAGAGCTCAGGCTGTCCCTGCATGCGCATGCGTGCATTGTGATTTCGTTCACAATGGCTCGACGAGGTTGGTGAGCGCGCATTACAGGATGGGCACTGTGCTGGCTGCAGTGGACAAAAGAGACCACATGTAAGGCTCCCGATCTCCTGAGCTGCCTCTGGAAATGCTGGTGACGCTCTCGGCTTCTGTGGCCCTGACTTCTATCCTCCCCTCCCCTCCCCTCCCCTCCCCTCCCCTCCCCTCCCCTCCCCTCCCCGGTGCACCTCATGCATGCATACTGGTTGCCCACCTTCTCTCGCAGGTCTGCTGTCCCTTCTGTAGCCACGGGGAATAGCCCAGACTCTGGAGCCAGACTGCTTAGCTTCACACCCAGCTCAGCCATGCCCTGTGTGTGGCCCTCCTCAGCTACACGCCCTAGGCTCTTCCCCGGGAAGTGGAGGTGGAAGGCAGCGGGTGGGGGGTGGTGCGGACTGAAGGCCTGTGTGTATGAAGCTCGGGGAACAGTGCTGGGCATTGGTGGCTGCACCACTGCTGGCCGTCGTTCCCGTTCCTGTCTCTGATTCTGCGGCCATTGCTGTTGGGACAGCTCCCTGAGTCCCGTCAGTCCTTTCCCCTGATCCCCACTCCTCCCCCGTCAGCCCACTAGAAGCTGGAGGCCTGGGTGGAAGGTGACTCTATTCTCCTCACCAAGTGAAGGCGACACGGGACAGAGTCCTGGTTCTGGTCCTTCTGCTGCCTCCTCTGCTGGTGCTGGTTTTGTCCCTGACTCCTGCTTCAGCCCAGGGGCGGCCGGCTGCTCCCGAGGTGTCTGCTGTGTGCCCGCTGGTTTAGAAGGCGTGGGGAGGCCGGGCGGGCCAGTGCCCGGGAGGTGGGAGGAAGGGAGGGCTGCCCTGGAAGAGAGGGGTGCCCACCAGGGAGCAGCGGTGTGAGAGGTTCCTTGAGACGAAGAGGCAGCCAGTGTGGCGCAGAGCAGGTGTCTGCGGGGTCGAGCAGGACCGGGTTCGGCAGGGAGGGGCCTCACAGAGCACAGGCTGATTGAGGGGCTGTTCGGCAGTAATCAGACTCTGAATGCGTTTCGCTTTTTAAAATTAAAATTGGGGAAATCTAATGAGGATATTGACATTAATTAGGAGGAAGTCAACATACCAACCTGTGGAGTCATTTTAAATGCTGAAGCTCTAGGAGGTGTAACTAGTGTGTGTATGTGTAAATGTGCTAATTTTAAACGGAATATTCTAGGGTGCCCTGGACCTGGCGGATGCGCATTCTCCACCACCGTCGCCAGAAGGAAAGCTGAGCGCGCACACAGGCCCCAGTAAGGTGAGTCCGCGGCTCAGGGACCGGCCGGCCGGCAGCCCAGCTCGGGTTCCTCCCGGTCCCGCGCCCGGTCCCACGCTCACACTCCTGCTCAGTTCTGCCACTGCTGCTTCCTTTGGGTGAAGTGTAGGTTTTAAGCATTAATCATTTTCCTTTAATTGGTAGTTTCTTGAATTTTGTGTCGTAGAAAGGAATGTGCTATTAAACAGAATTGTAGAGTATTGGACTCGCTTGGTACTTTGAACATTACTTCTCATTCATACATTCCTAACTGGAGCAGGTCAGGCTGGGAGTGTAGAACGCCGTGGGAACAGTGTAGCTGGGTGGCAGTCAGCCTGACGGGTGTCTACAGTAATGAGGCGTTTGAGGATTCGTGAGGACTGAGCTTGGGCCATATTGGTGTGAGGTTTCTGAGTGGTTGAAGTTAGGGCATAATTCAGGGGTTTGGTATCACAGAGAGTGAACTGGTGGACACTGGGTTCACGTCCAGGGTGTTTGTGCTGCTGGCAGAGCGAGTCAGGAGCAAGTGTGTGGGGCCCGTCTGGCCCTGCGGGAACAGTCCAGAGTGCTCCTGGGCAGCCGGACTGCTAGGTCTGCTGTGTCTGACGGGGGCTGGGAGAGGGGGTGACAGGCTGCTGGTGGGGGGCCTAGGGCTTGTCGGGGCCTAGACAGGGCCCTGGGGGAACTCTTGCTGCTGTCGGTGTGGTCGGTCCTGGGTGTTGTCCGTTGTGTGGGGTGCTGTTAGCGGCCGCTCTGTGGGCGGGCCTTTACGGCTTTCCCTCAATGCTCAGGGCAGGTTTACGGAGTCCCTCGGAGCAGCTGCCAGAGAGAAAGCCTTTGTCACAGCTCTGCTTTCTGTGAAAATACCATGACACACATCCCCACATGCTTACTAGTACCCGGCGCCTTGTGCTATTTGGAAGTTCCCTTTGTCAGTCATTCTTAAAGCAAATTAGCAAGACTAACCTTCCCCATAAGGTATGTCTTCAAAATAAGATACTAATGTCTATTTTGCCTATTTTTACTCTCTTTATAGACATTATTTTAGGAGTTAAGAATTATGGTGAGAATCTGCCGAAGCCGGTTTGGCTCAGTGGATAGAGTGTCGCCTGCGGACTGAAGGGTCCCGGGTTCGATTCCGGTCAAGGGCATGTACCTTGATTGCGGGCACATCCCCAGTGGGGGATATGCAGGAGGCAGCTGATCGATGATTCTCTCTCATCGATGTTTCTAGCTCTCTATCCCTCTCTCTTCCTCTCTGTAAAAAAATCAATAAAATATATATTTATATAAAAGAATTATGGTGAGAATCTGACATGTTATGTCATTTAGGAAGTGTTGCTCTAAACCAGTGATTTTTACCCGTGAGCGTAAGCATATTTCTGGCATGCAGTGTCAGGCACCGCCTCTTCCCTGCAGACAGTCACATGTAAACGACAACAGCTGGCACAACATGGCCGCCCAGTGTGACTGAGTCCGAATGATGGCAGTTTCTTGGGTCAGATTGGCGAAATGTCTTTGGTGTGCTGCAGGTGTTAGTCATTGGTCTGTGTGGGCCGGAGCGGGAAAAGATGGAAAATCGCTGCTCTCCATGGCGGGAGGAGTGAGGGTTCTGAGGCTGTTAGAGAACAGACCTGCAGGGCCCTCCCTCCTCCATCTTCTGCCTGTTTTCCATGGAGCCTCAGGCTCCCCACAGGGGACGCTGCAGCTCTTCTCCGCGGGCCTGGCTCAAATACCACCCGTGGTCCTCACCGCCGGGTTTGGGTGCCAATACTTGGCTCACCCTTTCAGTGCCTGAGCCATTAGGGGCTCTAGAAGGAACTCAGGGACGGGTGGCCCAGTGCAGGGTCCCGCCAGCCCTGGGGACCTGCTTTGTGCTCCTGAGCAGGGGGCGGGGCCCCGGCCTGAAAGGAAGCTGCTCAGGAGCACAAAGCTTCTCAGCGCGGCTCGGTGAGCACGAGAGAGGTCCTGTCCACTCGAGGGCGTGTCTGTCCACTCGGAGGCGGGTCTGTCCACACGGAGGCGGGCCTGTCCACGGGAGGTCAGGCTTGACCAATAACTGTTGGGCGGGGTGATTAAACATGAGTTGAGCCCCTTGAGGTAAAAAGACCAAAGAAGTGGGTTTCCTAAAGGAACATATTAATATCTCCATTTTGAGGAAATTTTCTAATAGGAATTTCTTTTAGTTTATGAATTAGTTTATTTTGAAAGATTTATACTTTGTGGTAAAACATGGTTTTATTCTCATGCTCAGATACCAAGGTATAAAGGACAAGGTAAGAAGAAGACAAGCGGGCAGAAGTCTGGTGCCAAGGTAACATGCATGAGGGCAGGGGACAGCAGCCTCGGGCCTGCAGCCCATTGCGCGGTCGCTTCTTTGGAATGTCACCCTCTTTTCTCTGTTGTCAGGCATGGTAGTCTCGGTGGCATAAACGAGAAGTAGTTTGACTTTCAGTTTTATCCAGGTGCAAGTCACACTGTTACGTTTTTCAACTGTGCTGTCAGTGTTAAGGATTTTTTGTGTGTTTTTTTTTTTTACAACTAAAAAAGTTGAAAATACTTAATTTTTGAATGGATGGTCATGTCCATATTTACGTGATTTTTATCTGAGGCCAGTAGAACACTGCACGGCTTTTTGGTACATTCCTACCGGCAAATTAAAGGCGAAACTTAGTTCCCTCAGGGTGTTTGGTGTGCACAGGGCTCAGCCTTAAAACCCCAGGGGAGGGCGGAGCCACAGCGCGCTGTGCCTGCTGTCCGCACTGCGTCCTCCCCTAAGATCACAAAAAGGGACCAAGCCTACCCTGGCCAATTTTACGTTTTAGATGTTAGAGGTCTGAGCAGCAGTGGCAGTCAGCTAGTTCCTACACGCGTTAGAGTGAGGTGTCCTTCTCTGCCTTCCCGGTCTGTGGGGCTCAATGCAGGTGAGCTTGGTTTCAGGAGAGAGCCTGAGGGCTCACCGTGCTGGCTGCCTTCACCCTGCTGGCTCATCGGCAAATTCCTGTCCTTCGTTCACACTGTTTTCATGCCTTACCACATGAGATGCTTTAAAATGTTATCAGCATGCCCTTTCCTGTGCCCTTTTAAGGTTGACTGAGTGCCTTAAGAGGCTAACACAGAAGGGTACATGAAGCAAGTCTCCATAAAACCCAGAGAAGAGATGGCAAAACTCCTCTCTGGATCCTGTCTGGAGTCACAGCTGAAAAAAAAGAAAAAGAAAAAAAAATGTTATCAGCAATATGTCTGCACATTTGCATAGAGAAACTCCTGTGTCAGTGCTCTGAGCGAGACAGTGAGCATGGTCCTCACTCACTAGGGAGGCGTTTACCGTGGCATTGGAGAGGCGACACACCTTCAGAACGGTCGTCAGAAACACAAGCCAGCATGCTTCATAGCCGCCTTCCGTCAGCTCCTGGGACGGAAGAGCGTGTTTCGTGACACCACACTTGTGTGATCCTGTTGGTGTCGTGGGTATAAGGAGGTCCGAACATTTGGAAGAAGTGTTCCGTGGGAACAGCGTGTGGAGGGAGGGTCACCGAGCAGCGTGGGCCCAGACTCCTGCTTGGGCAGGGCCTCAGGCGCTCAGGGCCGAGGGGGTCTGAAGAGCCTGTGCGGCCCATGTCCTGGCGCCTGAGCCCCAGGTGCTGCCTCAGTCGCTGTGACCCTGGTTTCCTCTGCGCCCCTGGCCTTGCTGGGGCGTTGCTTTAGAAGTCTGTGGTGCCAGCACTGTTTCCAGCCACAGAGATGACGCTCAGCCTGTCATCCCTCTGCTTTCTGCTCTGCCTTGTGCCCTTAACCCCCCTCCCAGCGTCTGAATAACCCATCCCGAGCTGCCTGTGTGTGTCATTGCGGCTACACAGCTGGACGCCAGGGGGCGCCGTTCACACGCAGCAGGACAGCACTTCCCATAGGCAAAGCCCTGAGCCTCGCCCTGCTTGTCCACGAAGCACCCCGGAGCGCCCAGCAAGGCCTGCGGGGTGCCTTGTAGCTTCTGTTGTGAGCAGAAGGCCGAGCTCATTTTGCAGATGAACTTTTAAAAAGTCATTCACGTGTATAAAACTGATTTGTACTTGGTAGTGTGAGCCCGTCAGAATGCAAAGCAAAACCCAAGGTTTTGACCTAATTGAACTTGGGTCAGATAAAAGTATTTCTGGGTTTGCTATTGTGGGTCAGTAAAGGGTGGGCAGAAGAAGTGGAAGCCGAGGTGGTAGATGGTAAGTGGAGGGCATTTCTTTAATGAGATGACATTGCACACTGTGCTGACACTGACTCCCGAGTGTCACCTGGTCACTGGAAACCAGCCTGTCGTCTGAAAGGCTTGTCGGCAGTTACAACAGCCCCTGGCAGCTCCACTCACTTGGAAAACCAAATAGTAGATGGTTTTGTTTTTAATACTTGGAATAAAGTGCTTTTTATCTTCACAACAATGTAATATAGAGGGTCAGTCTTTTTATAATCACTTTTCAAGTGTTTTTAAACTTGCGTATTGAGGTATTTTTTGCTTCAAGTTCTTTTACAAAGGACCATTTTTTAAATCGTTGCTCCTTTTTCAAAATTCTGGAATAAGCCCAGCATCACGTTGATTTAGGGCAGGGGTGTGTGTGTGTGTGTGTGTGTGTTTGGGATGGGGGGGTGTTTCTGTGTCTATTTTTAAAAAAAATATATTTTATTGATTTTTTTACAGAGAGGAAGGGAGAGAGATAGAGTTAAGAACATCAATGAGATGTTCTTGTTGATGAACACGTGTTGTTGGATCAATCAGCTGCCTCTTGCACATCCCCTACTGGGGATGTACCCGCAACAAGATACATGCCCTTAACCAGAATCAAACCTGGGACCCTTCAGTCTATAGGCTGACGCTCTATCCACTGAGCCAAACCGGTTTTGGCTGTTTCTGTGTCTATTACAGACACATTGGTTTTCTAGATAAAACAAGCGTTATTGTTCCCTTCATACACTCACACACTCTCTCACACATACACACGCGCACACACACACTCACACATCCTAAATGCAGGAGCACTCATAGTGGGCAGTGTGCCCAGCACTCCGCCTGACCAATGTCCACTCCTGTCTGCTTCAGACCCGAGACCTGACTTCTGGGCACTGCTGTCCTCTGACCCGGAGCAGCCGGCTTCTTAGGGCTGAGCGTGGAGCAGCTGTGCGGGCCGCCCAGTCTGGTTTTAAAGCCGGAGCGCTGGCTCCGTGCACCTGCAGGCGGTCCGGCTTGTGAGGGAGCAAGAAATAGGTCTTCTCCAGGACCACTGAGCTTCCAGGAGGGTTTGGGTTTCTGTGATTCTAGAATAACACAGTGTTTACTCTCTGTGTGCATGAATTAAACTTTTAGGGGTGTGTGTGTGTGTGTGTGTGTGTGAAAGACAGAGAGAGAGAGAGGGAGAGAGACAGCTGTAGTAAGTTAATTTATTAGTAAGTCTCGTGTCATAAACTGCCTTTGGTGGGTTTGGGGAAGGAAGCTGGCGGGGAGGGGGCGGGGTAAGGCATGGGCAGGAAGAGAATTTGTATGAATTTTGTAAATTTGGAAAACTTTCTTTGGCTTTAATGTGTCTGTTATGAGTGGTTCAGATTAAGCCTTTAGTTTGGAAAAGCTTTTTTTCTAGTTCATATACATTTTAGGAATCAAGGTTTTGGTTACTGTATTGTTAACACAGGCATGTTTAGGGCAAAGAAACCGGTGAAGGACAGAATCCAGTTAGGTTGTGAGGGTCAGGGCCAACTGGAGACAAGGGAACATGTGTTGTTGGATGCAGGCTGGGACAGGAGGGAGAGCGCTCGAGGGCCTTGAACGTTGGTAGATGCTCAGGGGCCGGCCAGTGTAGACGCTCAGGGGTGGTCTGTGTAGATGCTTAGGGGCTGATCCATGTAGATGCTCGGACGCCGGTCGGTGTAGACGCTCAGGGACCAGCTCATGTAGATGCTCGGGGGCCGGTCAGTGTAGACGCTTGGGGACCGGTCCTTGTAGACGTTCAGGGGGCTGGCCCGTGTAGACGCTCAGGGGCTGGCGGACGTGCCATGGACATGGAGTGCGGTGGGGCGCCCTCAGGTCTGAGTGGAGGCCAGGGCTGCCCTGGCGCAGAGCTCCGCTGTGGACCGCACAGTGGTGGCTCCTCGTTGGGGTGCGGTATGCTGGGCTCCAGGCGGAAAGGCTGTGCTCGCTTTGCTGTAATTCTTGGTTTGTGCTTGTGAACTAACCTTCCTTTGCCTCCACGTTGGGCACGCTGACTTACGGTAACTGGCGGAGCAGGGAGAGATGCGGAAAGGAAGTGGGAAGTCATGAGTAAATGGAGTGGGCATAGCAAGGGTTCCTTCAGGGAGTGTGAGGAGTGTTGCCCACCGTTTCTCTGGCATTCCCCTGGCGGGCCTGAGGCCTGGGCCAGCTGAGGGCCGGGGTCACTGCAAGCCCCTCCCACCGCCCCTCCCGTCCCTGCACTCATGCCAGGGGGTGCAGCTGTCCAGATAAAAGAAGCATGGACCCTGTATGATTTAAACACCTATCACAGTCTTACTTCACCAGGGACCTGCCTCTCCCCCATCTGTTCTAGAAAGCCGGCAGCAATGCTAGTCAGAGCGACACAAGCATCTCCTCATCAGAACCAAAGAGCAAAGGCAGCCTCAGCTCACTGGCCCAGGAAGCAAAACAGGGGCCTTTCTTAAGCAACAAAAGTCTGGATGTCACAGACAAAGCTGGCCTTTGTCCGCACGATGATGACCTGGACGGAGATTCTTTCTTTGACGATCCCATTCCCAAGCCCGAAAAAACCTACGGTTGGTGAGTCGACTCTTTGGGGTTATCAGAATAGAGACTTAAAAAGGTAATTCCTCAACCCGTTATTTACAGTTAAGAAACAGTGAACTGCTAAAGGTTCCATACGTACTAGACACGTGAGTCTGATTTGTGTGATCAAAGCCTTCAATGCGATCATGCGTTCAGAGTGAGGAAGCCATGTCAGTGGTCGGCAAACTGCGGCTCTGTTGACTAATGAGTTTGCCTGCCACTGGGTTAGTCAGATGGTGGCATTGGGGGGCATGCTGATGGGTCCAAGTGGGCTCAGGAAGGACAGAGGAGAGGGCTGTGTGTGGTGAACATTTTTTTGATGAGTTTCATAGGAGGGTGCAGAGGAATGGGTGGGGTTGGAGGGCGGGGGGTGGGGGGTGGGGTTAGAACCGTTAGAGCAGAAAAATTAACAGCGTGCATGTACTAGTATGTGGATGAGAACAGTCCTGGGTTTTTTGTTTGTTAATCCTCACCTGAGGATATTTTCCCATTGGTTTTTAGAGAGAATAGGAGGAAGGGAGAAAAGAGAGACAGCGATGTGAGAGACACATCGATTGGTTGCCTCTGCACGTGCCCTGACCAAAGCTTGTGATGGAGCTTGAAACCCAGGTATGTGCCCTTGACTGGAATCAAACCCACAGCCCTTTCGTCCACTCTATCCACTGAGCCAAACCGGCCGGGGCTAGAACAGTTTCCAGAGAGAAGTCAGTGATGTGGGCACAGGGTTTCTGCAGAGCTACACTGAGTGCCCAGGCCTGGTCTTCGCTGGGCGGTGGATGTGAGGGAGGAGAGCTTCTGAGAGCAGCGCAGACCGTGGCGAGGAGGAGCAATGGGAGGTCGCATGGAGTTGGGCCTTCTTGCCCTCCGGTGCGGTGCACTGTGTGTTCTTGGTGTCCTGTGAGATCTGCTTGTGCTGCTCTGGGCCGGGCAGAGGCTGGAGCGCATTAACTGTGCTTGTTTCCTGTTAGGAGAAGTGACCCTGGGAAGCCAGGAGGGAGCCTCACCTCGCTCGCCGACGCCCCGTCCTTGAAGAGTGGTCTCGGCTCCCTACCGGGAGCCCCGTCCTTGAAAGACTCGGAAGGTGAGTGCTGGCTGCAGAGGTGGCACTGGATTCTGTATTTCTCTCTAGCTCATTATGGAGCATTTGATCATTGCTTATTTTTTCAGAAGAACATATGTAAGATCATAAAAACTGCCCATAACGTTACCATTCAGAGATAGATTCTGTTAATATGGTGTTCTGTTTGTTGAATTTTTAAGATATGGCTTTATTCTGCTTTTCCTATGCCACCAAAACACTATTAGTTGACATTTTAGCTGTCTATCATGCTATCTGATAAAAAAAAAAAAAAAAGCCTACTATGCTAAGTCTCCAGTCGTCCATTCAACCAATCAAAGAGTAATATACTAATGATATGATAAGGTCACTTTGATGTGCACTGAGTGCCAGGGGCAGACACTCTGACCAGTAGGTTAGCTTGCTACTGGGGTCCAGCCAATGAGGACTGAGTGAGATGACCAGGACATGTCTTGGAACCCTCCCACAGTCCCTCTCCAACTGGTCAACCTCCCATGTCCTTCCCTGGCCCTGTTCGTGCACCGGTAAGGTCCCTTGGCCTGGCCTGCACCCTCTTGCAATCTGGGACTCATTGGGGATGTCGGAGAGCTGGTTTTGACCCTATCCTGCAGGCCAGGCCGAGGGACTCCACTGGTGCATAAATTTGTGCACCGGGCTTCTAGTAGAGGTATAATGTTAAACCATCTCTCTTGGACATTCTGATTGAGTTGTGTAGGATTTAATTAAATTCATTTTTCAAACACTTGTCTTATAGATTGTGTGGTGCCATAGTGATCACCTCAGGGTGTGAGAGGGATTTGGACCTGGTGTGTCCTGTGCAGCAGGGACAGGGACTGCAGCTGCAAGGAATGCCGGGCTGCCCAGTTCCCCACCCCGCACGGTGCAGGCCCCAGTGCTCAGACACGGAGCTGTGGGGAGGAGCTTGGACACTCTGTCATAGGGGACAGAGGGTTTAATCAGCACAGTGTTAGAGTATAGCTGGGCCTCTTCCGAGTGAGTTTTCTGAAAAGTGGGTGAGCACTGTGTGAGGGAATTGCACACGGCAGTCAGCAGTCACACTGTCACCTGGCTGAGGAAGCTTCTGTCATAAGGAAGCCCTTATTCTGGGGGAGAAGTAATTGACACGTTAATAAATGGTTGTATTCTAAATCTTGATTTAATGCAAATGTGTTTTCCTGTTCACAGGTAAAAGGGGAAACCCAGCTTTAAAAGATCTGAAGGTGGTGAATGATAAAATCGGATCCCTTGGATTAGGTAACTTGATAACCAGTTTGGAGGTGGTTATTTCACGATGGGAGTAACTGTACTGTTTATCCGGTGACTGTTATTTGCTTGTACTAGTGTCTTATGTATGGTAACAGTGTTATTTCTGGTCTTTGGGACTTCTGTAATGATGCAGTATTAGTCAGTAATGTGTGTTTTTGGAAGGAAATGTGTGTGTTTACTATAGGTAAGTTGTGAAGTGTGTTTATATAAATATTAGCAGCCCAGTGCATGGGTTCATGTACCAGTATGGCCCCTAGGCCTGGCCTGTGGCTCTCTGATACCCCCCAAGGGCCCCTGATTTCGAGAGGGCACAGGCCAAGCCGAGGGACCCCACCAGTGTATAATCGGGGCTGGGGAGGGACCGAAGGAGGGCTCCAGGGTATGTCCGGCCCATCTTGCCCAGTCCGGATCAGCTAGACCCCAGCAGCAAGCTAACCCCGGTCGGAGCATCTGCCCCCTGGTGGTTAGAGCATAACATAGCGAGTGGTCTAATCAGGCTTCATTATAGAGGATAACACTTGTCTCCTCAACCTTCCAGGAGCTGGAGAAGACGATGACTACGCCGATGACTTCAATAGGTGAGAAAGCAGGCGGACACAGAGGCACACTGTCCGCCGTTTCTGGACGCAGGAGAGCAACAGGATCCCCGGGCTTATTTTAGTGGGCGTGGCCCTGTTCAGAGTGACGGGGTACGGAGGGATCCAGAGCTGCACCCACCTGGAAGCCTGGGTGGATCCCACATCCGGATGTGGGTGTTCAGGAAACTCGGGAGAATGAGTGGAAGTAGCTGAAGAACTGAGTCTCCGCACCAGGCCGCCCTAGAAAGGGTCTTCCCCTCCCCTCCTCCTCATCTCCACTCCCCCTCCCCTTCCTCCTCCCTCTCTCCTCCTCCCTCTCTCCCCTCCCCCCTCCTGGCCTCGTGGGAACTGCCCACACCTCCCTGAAACACGTGGCCCTCCATGATCTTTCTGACTCGGGTGTGGGTGGGGTCACGGGAGTTGGGCAGACACTGGTCCGGAAGTGGGGCTTGTGGTGGAGATGATGAAGTTGGAAGTCAGAGGCTGAGGCGGGGTGCTCGGCAGAGCCCCTGCCCGGGGGTGTCTGTAACCGGGAGCTGGCTAGTTGGTGGGTTCCTTTGTGAGAGGCAGCGTGGCCCTTGCTTTTCTTGTCCGTCCAGTTGACTGGCCCTGCGGTCTCACAAGGGTCTCCAGGGTCAGGTAGATCAGGCACAGAGCTGAGGTGATGTGACACTATAGGGTTAGAGGCTTGGCGTCACTCTTGTTCCCTCCCCTGAATTAGCACCAGCCATCGCTCGGAGAGAAGCGAGCTGAGCATCGGCGAGGAGATTGAGGAGGACCTGTCTGCGGAGCTGGACGACGCCAACACGAGCGACAAGGTCGGCAGCGTGGGGGGCGGGGCCGGGGCTGCCGCGGTTCATGCGGCTCTAGGAGCTGCTCTGACGACGGAGACGGCGGGAAATGGATGGCCGATGGACCTGGCTCAGTCTGAAAGAGCTGAGGACTGAGCTGTGTCCACGGTCCTCCCCCGTGACTGATGAGTGCTTTGGGGTCCGTGTTGTTACCGGCCTCCCTGCTGGGGCCTTGGGCCGGGGTCAGGGCTGGGGTGTGAACAGTCGGTGCAGGAGGAGCCGTCCTCAGAGAGGGGACCACGCAGGTTGGTGCGAGCGTGCTGTGGGGTCAGGAGGCATGGCCGGGCTGCCGGTGATGTCGGGGCTCTGCACAGCAGGGCAGGGCTACACACCCGGGGGAGACAGCGCAGCAGAAATGGAGCCAGGGTAGACCTGGGTCTGCATTGGGGTTCTGCATTGGGCCTTGCGATTAGGCAGAGAGAGGATGCGCTTAGATGTGTGAGCTGGCGGCTCGGGATCGCATGTTGGTGCCAAGAGAGCTGTGGGTGTCTCTCGTGAGCCTGCCTTCCCCACGAGCATGCCCCCTGAGCGCAGTGTCCTTTGCCCCCTGAGCGCGTAACCTTTGCTCTCAGCACCATGACCTCCGAGGAGGATTGCAGCGGGGGGCCTTGGAGGGAGGGAGGCAGCGTTTGCAGTGAAGACAACACGTCTGCGCAGCAAACCTGGGCTCGCGCTCATCCCGCCTGCCCTCCGCGGCTCCGGCGCTTCCCCGGGCCGCTCGCCTGTGCACCGTTTCCGCCGGAGGAGGGCGAGGGGCACTGCGGGCAGCAGCGGGCCGAGATGACCCTCACGGCGGCACGGGTTTCAGGAGATCGGAGACTGCTGCGTGGTGACCTCCTCTGTCCTTTCTGACCCACAGCTCGAGGACCTGACGCAGGACCTGACCGTGTCGCAGCTCAGCGACGTGGCCGACTACCTGGAAGACGTGGCCTTCACCTGAGGACGGAGGCCGCCACCGCCCAGGACAGACGAGACCCCCCGTCCGTTCTCCCGGGCAGTGTGGCCCGAGTCTGCTCTGCTGGTGCCTTGTGTTCAGAACGACTGCAGATATTTTTAAAGATTAACTTTTCATTAACTAAACAGAACCTTCCACGGAGCCCACGCGTGGGAGATTTCCGTCTTAACCTGGTCATCTGCCCGTTTCCCTCAGAAAGCAATTCCGCTCAGATGCCTGACGAGGAGGCACGTGAGACAGCAGGATTGAGAGCGAAGAGAAAGGGGCCAGTGAAGCTGTAGGTCCGCGGCTGGCAGGCACGCGTGGGCGGGGCGGGCGGGGCAGAAGGAAGGGCTGCCGGAGCCCAGGGGAGGCGCTGCCGTCTGTCAGTGCTCTGGGTGCTGCCAGCTCTGCTCCTAAAGGGGGAGGGGGTGCGGGGGGTTCATTGGTGCAGGTGTCATGGCAGCGGCACGTCACGGCCATGTCCACACGAGAAGCGATCCTCGCAGGCCCTCTGAGAGCTCAATTATCATCTGACCCCGTCTTGAAACGTTCAGTTCCGAGGCGCATCTGAGGCCGGCAGCCGTGCTTCCACCGGGCCTGCGCGTGACGTGGCCCAGGTCGGGAGCAGACGGCCTCACGTGTCCAGGGCAGCTTCCTGCTGCGGTCAGGTCCCCTGTCACTCAGAGTGAGCCACGCCCTCCCCCTCCCCCGGACGGGCGCCGTGTTCACAGGGTCACTGCCCACGGTACTATTGCCCAGTGGGTGACGCGTGCTTGGGCTACAATTACAAGTGAAGCTGTGACTGTGGTCAGTTTTGTACTTTTTTATTCCCATTAAATTATGGCTTTTACGGAAGTCCCTTTCCTAGTGAGAGGAGGCATGAATTGATTGGCCTCCGTCGGGGCGCGGACCTGATGGTCAGTGTGTGCTCGCGTTCATTTCTCCGCCTCACGCCCGAGGAAAGGGCAGTGGTGGTGTGGGGTCATGCTGTGGAACATTGGCGTTTGGATCTGAAATCAAGTGAAACTGAGCCATAAACGCCAGCAGGAGAGGACAGCACACGGGCCGGCAGCCTGTGGGTGGGGCTGTCCACATGTGTGCGGTCGGCGTGCAGGAAGACGTGGCTGCCGCTGACGTCCTGGTGCCCCCACTGGTGTCCCCTGTCTGCCCTCGCTGTGCAGCTTCGCTCTGTCCGCCCTCGGGAAGCGGCAACCTGTGCCCTGTGGGCGCCGTGCATGGTGGGAGCTGGACCTTGGTGAATGGACGGTCTGCCGTGGAACAGTTTCCCAGAGTGTCCTTTCCTGTGGCCAGAGTCTGGCCTCCAGTCCTGTGTGGGGGATGGGAGATAATGCCAAACACGGAACTTGTTTCTCATCAGCCTCAACTGTAAATATTCCGCCATGAAGTGTCGTTCCCGTGTGTGTGCTTCGATGGGACAGGGTTTGCGTGTGTGTGTGTGTGTGTGTGTGTGTGAAATGCATATTGAAATAGCCCATGAAATACGTTTTCATGGTAAAACCTGTATTTTACAGTGGAGTTTCCAAATGCTCGCTCTCGTCTTATAGGCGGCAGTAGGAGTGAATAAAAAGCTTGCACCTTCCCTACTCTGTGTTGTGTGGCAGTGACCAGCACCAGTCTCCATGGTGCCTGGGCCCCTCCTGTTGGGCACGCCTGTCCCCCAGAACTGTGTTCCCAGAACCGTGACCGTCTGGCTCCTTTCCATCTTGTTCTCAGACGCTCCGGCCTGGGGGTTTCCCTCCCAGCCAGCCGCTGTCACGGCCCCGTGTGCCTCCCCTCGCTCTGTCTGACGGGGCAGCTCTGGACCCTGTGGTGGTTGAATTGCATCCCCGCAGTCTGCCCTCACCCTGACCCCGAGGACCGGCTTGAGGTTCAGTGAGGGCCCAGCTGACCTCCTCCCTCCGGCCAGGGGAGAACATTGCTCTCAAAGGAAGTGCACAGTTGTCGGCCATTGCTGGTGGCTGCTGGCACAAGACAAGCAGAGTGGGATGGGGAGGGCGAGCAAAGAAGGGCCGCTTCCGTTCTGGGGAAACGGGACGAGGGAGGCTGTCTGAGTCGTCCTCGCAGCTCCCAGAACCGGGAGTGCGGCCTGGCACCAGGGAGGCCTCTGGTCCTGGAACAGGATTGTCCACCAGCACGGTGACTGAGATGGCCTGGTGCCCGGGCCAGTGGGGTCCTGAGCAGAGAGCCACGGCCATGCCCATGCCCACGCCCAGGGAGTGGCCCAGGTAGCCATCCTGCAGGGAGGGTGGGCGGGGCCACGAGGGGACCTGTGGGGCCTGCCCAGATGAGACCTCCCTGCAGGGCCGGTGCAGCTGGAAGGAGGGTCCTGCGCCCTGACCTCAGGCCTGGGGTGGCCGGCCTGTGCGGGGGCACCGCACACCAGGAAAGGCAGCGTTTCCACCACAGGGAATGCGGGCCTGGCTGCGCTTGGATGGGAAGAAAGGGGAAGAGAGACTGGACCAGTTTCCGAGTTTCTGTTCCTCCTCAGAGGCCCCATTCGTGAATCACTTCCCCAAAGTCCCTGCGGCCAAGCCCCGCCAGCATCACCGCCTCAGATCTGCTTCCTCTCAGGTCCCTCTGCCCGTGCTGAGCCAGGACCCACTCCTGCCCCCTGGCACCCACGGGCGACATGAGAACCACGCAGTGAGAGCAGGGTGCACCGGCTGCTTACACCGAATGTGAATCCTGCTCCCAAAATGCACATAACTTCCCGGGAGCAGGGCACTGCAGGCCGGTGTCCAGAGGAGGGGTGAAGGGTGCAGGTCAGCGGTTTGGGGGTTCCCAGAGTTGTGGCACTGTCACTGCCACTGATGTTCATCCCAGAAAAGAACCTCATAGCATCGCATCGATCCCCGTTTTCCACCTCACCCCCTCTTCCCAACACAACGCTTCCTGTCCTACAGACTAGCCTGTATCGGATTTTGCTTATACGGAATTATACAACACTGGAGGCCTGGTTCCTGCACCAGTGGGGTCCCTTGGTCTGGCCTGTGGGATCGGGCCGAAACTGGCTCTTCAACATTCCCTGAGGGGTCCTGGATTGCAAGAAGGCACGATTGGAGGAGCCTCGGGGCCGGGGAGGAACCGGGGGAGGACTCCAGGGCGTGTCTGGCCCCATCTTAGCTCAGTCCCAACAGGCTGGACCCTAGCAGCAAACTAACCTACTGGTCAGAGCGCCTTCCCCTGCTGGTCAGTGCACATCATAGCAAGCACTTGAACAGCCTTAGCATATCATTAGCATATAATGCTTTGGTGGAACGGACGACCGGACACTTAGCATATTAGGCTTTTATTATATAGGATTCTATAGGATGTAACAACGTTGCCTTTAATGACTGGCTTCTTTCACTTAATTGTTCTGGGTTAATCCATATCAGAGCATCTCTGGCTGATCCATTTCTTTTTGTTGCTACATAGTATCCCACAGTGTGGATATGTCAGGTGTACTGGTTAGTAATGCGGATTTTTTTCAAAAGATGGAGTTACACATGTTATATATATGCGATTTGATATGTATTTTGTTGTATTAACAGCAAGCTTCAAAACTTCACATGTCAAATTTTCTGAATGTGTTAATATCAGATATTTTTATACTTAAAAATGTCAAATTTCATACCAAAAAAAAGCATTTGCAGGAAGTTTTAATCATTATTTTGAAGAAAAGTGCTGAATACTTAGAGAAGCTTATGGTGAACATGCTCCATCTCAAGATACTTGTGAACGCTGGTTTAAACACTTTAAAAGTGACGATTTCAACGTGAAAGACAAAGAATGTCCAGGTCAACCAAAAAAGTTCGAAGACAAACAATTACAAGCATTATTGGATGAAGATGCGTGTCAAACAAAATAGCGAAGGAGTGAAAAATGGGTTCTCTGAAAGGTCTGCCTCAAAACAAGAAAAGTTCTATTGGGACAGTATCCACAAATGACCGGAAAGATGGGGGAAATGTGTAGCTAGCAATGGACATTACTTTGAATAAAACACTTTTGATGTTTCTCTTGAAATTACGGTGTTTTCTTCCATTAAATATCTGCATTATTAACCGGTACACCTGGTACATCCTTGACATATTCGTTCATAAGGAGTGGACATGAGGGTTGTCTCCACAGTTTGTTCTGACACTGCTAAGAACACCCGCACCCAAGTTTCCGTAGACATTCGTCTCCTGTCCTTTTGGGGACGCCATGGAGGTGGACTTTCGAGTCACGTGATGATTCACCTAAAGAACTGGCTGCTCTGCACCCACAGCTGCCACTCCCTCCACCCCCATCCACTCCCCTCCACCTCAGCATGCAGGAAGCTTCCTATTCCTCCACATTCTCTCCCAGATGGTAGGTGCGCGGTGTCTCACACCGTGGCTGGGATTTGCACGTGGAGTGTGTTGTGTGTGCACTTAAGAATGTGTAGTTTGGCCCAGCTGGCTCGGCTCAGTGGTTGAGCATCGACCTGTGAACCAGGAGGTCACGGTTTGATTCCTGGTCAGGGCACATGCCCGGATTGTGGGCTTGATCCCCAGTGTGGGGTGTGCAAAAGGCAGCCGATCAGTAGTTTTCATTGATGTTTCTCTCTCCCCGCCCCACCTTTCTGAAATTAAAAAGAAAAGGAAGAGCGTGAAGAATGTGCCGATTGCTGCCGTCTGGGGTGTGCTCTGTGGGCGTCTCGGGGTAGATGATGAACAGTGCTGCTCTAGTGCTCTTTCCATGTTGGTTTTACTCTTAGTAGTTCTGTTGTTGAAAATGGGGTGTTGAAATCTATTGTTGAAATCTGTTTCTGTTTTCAAGCCTACCTTTTTTTCTTGCTGTTAGCAGTCAACTCCAAAATCTCAGTGACTTACCCACCAGGACCTGACCTCTTGCTCAGACAGAAACCAGCCATCTCTTCTCCCTCGGGGGCAGGGCAGCCTGCTCCCAGCCCCGCCCAGGCTCCGGCCTCAGGCTCCTCCTGTCTCTGTGGTCCCTGCAGGGGCGGCAGAGCTTACACA